AGAGACGAGAGATGCAAGTCCATCCGGTTGGTTCCAAATTGACTCGATCCGCAGGTTGGTTCGCGTGAAGCTATTCTTGATCTATGGCCAAGGAGACGAGCACTGTTGGACAGGACCAAGCGGACGGGGGAAAACGAGGGCAGTGATGTCATGGGGGTCGATCATCTCTGCCTTGAGTCACTTCGTGAAAGTCGAGCGCAGGAGGCGATGAAATGATCGGTTTGAATCTGGCACGTTGTTCTATGATTTAAAACAAATCTGTATCAATTGCGTTATTTTCGAGAACGTATGCATACTATGCCTCAATGCAGCTTTTCTCGATCTACTTATGTAAGGTGATTGTGGGCAGATGGCCTCCATTTCTTGCAATGCGATCCAGAACCCTTATTCTCACGCTCTGCATCACTCGTCGACACAGATCGCATGTTTCTGTTTTCCGGGCCGGGCCTGGGTCACACTCCTAGCAAAGTAAACCTGCAATGGCAGAGCGGTGTCGAATATCCAAATGCGCCAGTTTTGAACAAGACTCCAGTGTTGCTGCTTTCTGTCAAACGACGGATGATTTGCAATCACGATTTAGAGGGATATTTTTGAAATAAAAAAGATTTGCCTCGGTCACCCTGTAATAGGGACGGCTTTCCGACATCTATGAAGTGAAAGACGAGTTAGACGTTACGGATCGAGTCTCCTAGGTGACATTGCTTGGTTTCCCAGTTCGTAGCAGGATCATTTGATACAGATGGACATGATCGACTTCGCCCCAGTTCCATGGCTTTTCCAGAAAAGAATAGAAACTTTCAGCCGCTAGGGGAGTGGATGTTGCCTTCAGTATCCTTTTACAGAGTTTTCGATAAATTAGGCTTCTTTTTGCAATATTCTGTCGGATCTTTAACTTCTGGAAAAAGTGCACAATCGTACTTCAATCACACACATTTAAATGCGGCCGGAATTGACTAGCACAGGCCTATGCCTTCGTCAGTCGCAGAACAGAAGGCGTGATGTCATCGCAGCACAGGAAACGGGAAACACTTCTAAAAAAAAGTCAAGTGCTTCGTTCACTTGCATCATCCATATTCACATACCCCGCCTCACACACATTCCCCCACATTCGCATTCCCCCTATCACGCACATTCTGCACGTGTCAAATCCTCGGTTCTCGCGGCCCGTGCAGCTGAATACCGAGGTGGAGGGCTGAATAGAATGAGGGGTGACCCCTCTGCACTTCCGTCAAGAGAGAGAAAAAAAATTCGTTCATTTTAAAGGAAATTTTTTTTTTAGCATGGACACTCTATGGACACTCGGCCGGGCAACGTTAAAATGGGGCGTAAAGAAAACAACAACCAACATGGATTCAGTGGTAAATACGAATCTATTCCAATTCTCAGGAGCCCCCTATGGAGCCTCGTGCATTACAACACGTGAAAATAAAATATCCATAAAAATCCAGAAGATCCTTACATATTCTCATAATCCATTCAATCACAGTAATATGGTTCTCTCTCAGGGAGAAACATGAAAAAAACAAACACAAACAGTAAACAGCCACAGCAGCGGAAGGCACCAACTAATGAATACAATTGAAATCACACACTCAAGCCCTGCTCAGACACCACAGGGCGGTGTTGCCGAGTCCCAAACGGGTTGTCGCACGCAAGATCACTGGGAGGTTCACTTCCTTGGTCGTCGTCATGGACACCAAGCTGTTTCCTCAGCATTACGGTCACTGCACTGGTGAACACTGGAGTCCTCACCATAAAAAAATTGAATGCACCACGTCTGCCGCAAGAACCTCCTCTCTCCCTTTCTCCCTCTCCATGCCTCTCGCTTCCAGGTCCGGATATTGGGGTCTTGGGGACCTGATTCAGCCATCCTCAAGGATTTGGTATGTCTGGATCATTGGGACCTCACTGGTCCCGGGGGGAGGTATGCAGACTAAAGCATCATTATTATGATAAATATTTTAAAATAAAATTAGGAGCTAAAGGTATGATGGGCCCCGCTGCCATGTGGTGGACCGTAACATAGCCCCCGCCACACCACGGTGAGATCCTCCCAACACCAAGGCTGGCAGAGTGCAAAACCCTGGTGAAGCTAATGACGTAGCCATGGGAAGGTGTCCCATGACTAAGGAGTGACGACGAGTCTGTTTCCAGACTCAGACGAGTCTGGAAACAGACTCGTCTGAGTCTGGGAACAGACTCGTACGTCACGCCAGGATCCCTCCCTTTATTTTTTTTAAATTTTAGCTATTACAACTACTTATATTTAATGAAAGAGAGCGGCCATTTAATAAGAAGCAACCTGTCATTTAGTAGGTTAATAGGTTGGGGCAAATTAATTTTAGGTCCACCTATTAAAAAACCTACCAAATTAAGTCTTACAGAGATTAAAATATTTAATTTACAGTTTAATTAAATTCATATTAGATTTACATCCTGACATAAGAGAGTTAGGAGATACAAGCCCCAAAAAGGAAGAGAAGGTGTTTCCCGGGGCCAGCTGGCCAGAAGGGCCTTAAAGGACGCGCTGGCGAAAAAAACATTTACAAGTACGAATTTACTTTACGTGCGAAAAGAAGCTACGGAGTAGGATTTAGGCTTGGCCGCAAAATTAAAGTAAAAAAAGAATTAGATTAGACAACAATAAAAAATTAGACAAAGCAAATAATGAAAGCAATCAAGCAAATGAAAAGGGCAAAGAAAAAAAGGATTATAGAAAAAAAAACAAATTCGAAAGAAAGACTAATTAAAATTGACATCAAGAACAACAAACTCAAAGAAAAAGAAGGAATGCAATCAAAGAAAATGGAAGGGGAAACACACAAAACAAAATACAATCCTACAAAACAAAATTAAAAAGAAATTTAAAAGCATATTACATTTCAAATCCGGTTTAGGCCACAATTCCAAGTCACACAACACAACAATGAAAAAAAAAAGAACAAATGAAGGAGGTTAAGACCACTGTTCACAAACATCATATCACAAGCACGAAAACAAGATATATGAAAACTATATATGAAAAAATAAACAAAGACTAAAAAAAAAACTTGTTCCTGGAGAGAAGTCCTGCGAAGATTTGTCGTCCTCTTGATGAGGGCCCCTCCGCCTGGTCGCGATGTCCTCTCTCGAACTAAGAAAGGACAAGGAAATACATCAAATGAGGGAAAATTTGCCGACTGCAATGGGAAGAAAGCGAAGAAATCGAACGGATCCTTCAAACCTGGTGGAAGCTTGATGAGAACGGTGAGTCCACAGGGATGAAATTGATGAGTGAAGTCACCCTACTAAATGGAGGAAAGAATACAGGATGGATTAGTAAATCGTGTCAAAAGTAAAATATTTAAAAGGAAAAACTGGAAAGGGAAGAATGATATTAAAATGGCTGGGGGAAAAAAAGAATTACAAAATTGGCAAAAGAGAATAGGAAATTACATTACAAGTCCGGTTTTGGCCTCACATCCCAGTCACACAACACAATGATATGAAAGGACAACAATGCAAAACATGAAACAAATGAAGTCCGGTTTTGGCCATTAATCAAAGAAACATACAATAACGAAAACGAAAAAGGTCACCAAAAACATATAACACACAGAAACAGCCTATAATAAACCATAGAAATAGACTACTATTAAAAAACTGAAATAACTTGCTGCTGGAGGTGGGAGAAGTCCGGCGAAGAATTGTCGTCCTCTTGAAAGGGGCCCCTCTTCTTGGTCGCGACGTCCTCTCTCGAACTAAGAAAGGACAAGGAAATTCATCAAATTACGGAAAATTTGACGACTGCAGTAATGGGAAGAAAGGGAAGAAATTGAAGAGATCCTCCAAACCTGGTGGAAGCTTGATGAGAACGGTGAGTCTACAGGGAAGGAATTGAGTGAAGTCACCCTACTAAATGGAGGAAAGAATATAAGATGCATTAGTAAATCGTGTCACAGGTAAAAAATTTAAAAGGAGAAACTGGAAAAGTAAGAATGATATTAAAATGGCTAGGGAACGTAAGAATGGATTAATGGCTGTGAGAACACTAATAATTACAATTAAGGACAAAATCAAAAAAGAGGACAAAGGGAAATTGGGGAAAAATTAAACTCGACCTTGCTGCTGGAGATGGGAGAAGTCCGGCGAAGAATTGTCGTCCTCTTGAAAAGGGGCCATCTTCTTGGTCGCGACGTCATCTCTCGAACTAAGAAAGGACAAGGAAATTCATCAAATGAGGGAAAATTTGACGACTGCAGCAATGGGATGAAAGTGAAGAAATTGAAGGGATCTTCCAAACCTGGTGGAAGCTTGATGAGAACGGTGAGTCTACAGGGAAGGAATTGAGTGAAGTCACCCTACTAAATGGAGGAAAGAATACAAGATGCATTAGTAAATCGTGTCACAGGTAAAAAATTTAAAAGGAGAAACTGGAAAAGTAAGAATGATATTAAAATGGCTAGGGAACGTAAGAATGGATTAATGGCTGTGAGAACACTAATAATTACAATTAAGGACAAAATCAAAAAAGAGGACAAAGGGAAATTGGGGAAAAATTAAACTCGACCTTGCTGCTGGAGATGGGAGAAGTCCGGCGAAGAATTGTCGTCCTCTTGAAAGGGGCCCCTCTTCTTGGTCGCGACGTCCTCTCTCGAACTAAGAAAGGACAAGGAAATTCATCAAATGAGGGAAAATTTGACGACTGCAGCAATGGGATGAAAGTGAAGAAATTGAAGGGATCTTCCAAACCTGGTGGAAGCTTGATGAGAACGGTGAGTCTACAGGGAAGGAATTGAGTGAAGTCACCCTACTAAATGGAGGAAAGAATACAAGATGCATTAGTAAATCGTGTCACAGGTAAAAAATTTAAAAGGAGAAACTGGAAAAGTAAGAATGATATTAAAATGGCTAGTGAACATGGAAATGGATTAATGGCTGTGAGAAGACTAATAATTACAAAGAAGTACAAAATTAAAAAATTAAAAAAGAGGACAAAGGGAAATTGGGGAAAAATTAAACTCGACCTTGCTGCTGGAGATGGGAGAAGTACGGCGAAGAATTGTCGTCCTCTTGAAAGGGGCCTCTCTTCTTGTTCGCGACGTCCTCTCTCGAACTAAGAAAGGACAAGGAAATTCATCAAATGAGGGAAAATTTGACGACTGCAGCAATGGGAAGAAAGTGAAGAAATTGAAGGGATCCTCCAAACCTGGTTGAAGCTTGATGAGAACGGTGAGTCTACAGGGAAGGAATTGATGTGCGAAGTCACCCTTCTAAATGGAAGAAAGAATTCAAGATGCATTAGTAAATCACATCAGGTGCAAAATGTTTTTATGGAAAATTTTGAAAGCGAAAAATTTTTATTAAAATGGCTCGGGAAAGAAAGAGATGATTAATGGGCTAAATAAATAAGACTAATAAAAATACAGAACAAAATTACATAAAAATGGAAAGCAACAATAGGTAACAAGACAAACATATGAAGGGCATGGAACTGAAATATAAATGCAGACAGGTTTACAATCAAAGGACTTGGGAGGAGAGATACAGACACAAAGAAACAAAAGGAAATGAAATACAAATAATATTTTTGAACAGTGGCCAAAATCGGACTTGAAATCTTAAGTCAACTGAAACGGGCTGTCTCATATTCGGTACAACCTATCATGAGACAGTCCAACAGCTGACTGAGGAAGGGGCGGAAGTGAATTGCTTGGGGCGGGCGAGGGTATCTTGGATTCTGACTTCTCCCTCCTTTCCCCCCAGGCTGTTTCACTTCCGGCCTTGGAAACTGAACGGCTTAAGGGCAATACCGTCTGATCCGATATCGTAGCCTCAACTGGTTTGCTTGACAACAGAGCGAATGTTGAAGCGACCGTTACAAGGAACCAAATCAGCAACAGATATCTTTTGACAAAAAGACGCCATGATTTCAGGGACACGTCACTCCTCTCAGATTTATGAAATGGAAGGGAAAGGCGCGGCAAAAGGAAATTATCCGAAAAAGCCGTTCCTCACATGGATAATGTGGTGGCATAATCCAGAATTTTTCATTGAAAGTGAATTCATGAAAGGAGACCAGATTAAAATTGTTTCTCTATAAGGGAGACCAAAAATTTTCTGGCTTTGAAAGACGCGCCTGGAAGTTTTCAGTTGAGCAGAATTTGCACATGATTAATCTGGTGATATCGTTATATCGGGTCTGAGATGCTCTCAGAGCCACACCGCGTCCGAAAAAAATATTTATTTCTGAGGAATATTCGTTGGCATGATAGCATGACATGAAATGGAATCTGGTTTTTTTTTATTATAGGATATTGCATCAGGGTCTGCTCTCAGAACGAAAATTTTTTATTCCAACCGGCGGGATGGGCTTGCATCTCTTGTCTCTCATCGCTCCTCTGGGTGTTAGAGGGTCTTTCTCAACGAAAACGCTTAGCTGCCATCGTATTAGGTACCTATACTACATCTCGGCCGTTGTGACTGTGCCAGACGATACTCAAATCGATTAATATTGTCCCTAGCGCCAGGTCTGGGTGATAGTGTGGAGAATGGGGATTTTTCCCGTGAGACATCTATGAAGTGAAAGCCGAGTTAGACGTTACGTATCAACACTTATAGGTGACACCGCCTGGTTTCCTGCTCGTAGTAGGATCATTTGATACAGATGGACATGATCGACTTCGCCCTAGTTCCACGACTTTTCCAAAAAAAATTTTTTTTGAAACTTTTTTACCTCTTGGAGAGGGGAGGAGGGGATGCTGCCTTTAGTATCCTTTTACATTGAGCTTTTTTTTAATGCGGGTAGCGTTGACTAACACAGGTCTATCCCTTCGTCAAACGTAGGAACACGAAGGCGTGATGTCATCGCGGGAAAGGAAACGGGAAACACTTCTAAAAAAAAATAAAATAATGAATGAATTAATTAATTAATAATAATGTTGAATAAGCTGAAACACGCCTCAAGAACTCAAGAATATCACAAAACCTTCGAAGCATCTCGAATGTTCATAACTTCCGTACGAACAACTAGAGCCAAAAAAGAAGCACATCACTGTGCGTACTTTCAAGTTTCTCACGTCCATTTAAATTTCAGCATGGAGTATAGAAGACGCAAGTCATGGGTTTCCAGGGTTCTAGCCAAGGAATTTCCCAAGCTGCATTACATCTAGTGATTAAGCCTTCATGGATTAAGTCTCGTGTAGAAGCGGAGCCCTCATCCCCATTTGCTTTCCCATCCGGCTTGACGAATGTTTAGTAGGTGACAACCAGGGCTGCCTGCTTTTCTTTTCCCCTCCTGATCATCAGCATTTTTTGCTGCCACCAAGACATGCAGTCCCCGAGTCTGGCTCTATTTCGAGACCGTAGCTCCATCCCACTCTTTCCCAAGAAATCAAGGAGAAAGAGCGCGGAAAAAAAGCAGACATGCACTGATAAGAAAATCCCATTTTAAAAAATCCCCTCGCAGCTCAATCAAGTCTGCCTCATGCACTTCCACGTATGACATCCATCTGCGAAGAGAATTTCTGAGAGAGATGGGTCTTCTTTGGTTGAGGCATGTTTGGAGTGGCACTGCTCCTCGCTAGTGAAAAACAGGAAATCCTCACTTTCCGTTTCACTCCTTTTCGGCTCCTGAGAAACTTTTTTTCTTCCGTTTCTTCTCTCTCTCCTACAAAAAAGGAGACGGGTGTCCCCTCGCCGTCACTTGTGACGAGTTCGCGAGATGAATACTCACGTGCCCAACCGCCCATCCCAGTGCATTCGAGATGAGGCTCATCCCCTTGTGTATTTCTCTTCAGGGACGCTAGAGCTCCTTTCAGCCATCTAAAGCCAGTAATACGCAAATCGTAAAAAAAAAACGCTACCAAGGAGGAGCAAAGGATCTTGATGGAATTTGGTGCGCGAGCTCGTAGGATTGCAGATAAAGAGTTTCAAGGGCGTGGGATGAAAATTCGCACGAAAACTTGCCAAACACTCAAATTTAGTGAGGAGGTCCCTCTAATCACCCAAAGACGGTCGCCCAGAATGATGTTATCGATGAAACGCGGAACGGAAACTCAAAGTTCAGAAAAATCGAGCGAAGTTTCAAGTTCATAAATGAGGCAATTCAAGGAAAACGCCCATGGAACGGAGGAAGAGGGCGGCGATCGATGCTTTCCTTTTCTTTTCCCCTCAAGCCCGCTATTGAGCCATAAACTGCGAATCAATGCCGAGATGAAATTTCTGAAGGCCCCTAACATTCGAGCGCTTGATCAATGTCGGCTAATCGGGATGCATGCGGAACATCCCCAGCAATCGATGGAGTTTTATTACAGAAAAACGCCGACTACCCCATTGTATCAAAGGCGAAATTAAATATTTAAAAAATATATTACTTAAATACATTCTTGTGCCCTTCATTCAAACTGGAACATCTGCGCTTGCATCTCGGAAGCAAATTTCAATGAGCTCTTGCATCTGGGCGAGAGGCGAGAGGCATTCGCGTGCCAGAGAGCGTGAAGGGTCAGCAACCCAATGGGGTTGCTGATAAAAAATTATAAAAAATTAAATACGTCATCCAGGAGACCAAAGGAATTCGAACTGAAGCTGCCATCCTCCAGCGATGCTTAAGCATGGGTTTTATTTTATGAAACAGTAATAGGAGTAAGGAGAGAGGGGGGAAGATATTGGACAAAGGAGGGTGTTAGGGTGAACGAAATGGCCCCCCCCCCCCATTTCGGTGCAGGACGTACAACAATAACAGATGAGTGACATGGATTTTTTTTTTTAGAGCACATTTCCTGCATCGATTGCGAACGATCACGGGTTTGCTGTAACGGTAATGCATAACATTTGAAACGCATTACTGCATTTCGTTACACCCGGGAAAAAGAAACGCGTTACCGTTTCTCACTTTATTACCTGTTTCAATCATCGCGGAAAATCAAGTAATTGCGCGCAGTTTTGAATCACCAGTCCATCCCTGATATCTGGTGAGGGGAAGCGCAATTACCACGAGTGTTCGACGGGAGACTCGAGACGAAATGCATCTAATGATCCGCTTTGTAGCAAGCACCTGCGAGTGCAAATGCGTACGATCTAACTTAGTTTGAACTTCCTGTATGTTCCCTTTAAACACGGCGAGTTATTTTTCAATTATAGCTCTGATTAGACCCCATTGAGAGCATTGCGTTCAATTCTGAAGACCTGCTACTAAAAGTCATCTAACGGCGCTCCAGAGGGTTCAGAGGCGAACTACGAAAAGGATAAAAGCGGTAAGAGGGCTCTCATGCGAGAAACGTAAGACGCTGGGACTCTACTTGCTCGAGAGAAAGCTAACGAGGGGGGACCTCATCCAGTCTTTTAATTTCATTAAGGGAATCGATAACGTGATGCGTAGTAGTCTTCCAACTCGATGGTAGCAATAGAACGAGAGGACACAGATTTTTAAGTTGCGTAAACTCCAAGCGAGACAGGTTGTGAAAAGACTTCTTCACTTGTAGTGTAGTTAATGCGTGAGATGCGTTAAGTAACGGTATAGTGGCTGTCCCTACCGTGACTAATTTTAAGAAGTGGCTTCGTGCTGTCATGGATAAAACGCAAAAAAAGGGAACAGTGTAAGTGACTAAGCAGTAGAAGGTTATGCTCCCACGCAATATCTATATTCAAGAGGGGTATGCCTCTCTTACGATACATAAACATAGTATCGCACCGACTGCCGAGGCAGACACCTTGCTTTAGGTAGGGGAAAAGGAACGCGGCAACGCGGAGGGCTAAAAAATATTCAAATATTGCCTGAAATCGGCTGTGCTGACTCACATGGTTCGAATAAAGATCGGAATCGCTTTCCTGAGGAGTTTGGTCTCAGAATGTCCATGGAAATCGCAAAGCAGTCCCACAGCTTTCACAACGAAACGAACACTTGCACGATCCAGCATCCACGAGAAATGCACAGCAAAGCAGAAACGTACAGTGAAGTACATATTTCGTACGTTGTGAGGTACAAACGTATGTCGTAAAATACGTTCGTTGAAAAGGTACCGAAGCAAAATAAGGTACTCAAGTGTACCCTTCTTATCTCGATTCAGAAGGTACGGATGGGTTCTTTTCGTTTGGATCCCATGTGTATATCATTTCGGGCTCATGGGCGTTTGAGAAACCTGCCTTTGTGCCTCAATTTTCAGCTTTGAGGCGAGCTTTAATGACGCCATCATCCGGCATCACTTCTCCGACAGTCGGAGAACTGTCTCTGATAAGACGGTGACAGCTCGGCAACGTCTCTACCACGCCAACAGGACGTGCTAGGTGTCTCATAAACAGCACCTTCTCCAGTTATCGTGGATACAGTAGGTAGCAAGTCCACCCTATTATTGTTTGTTGAAAGTTGACCGCTCTTTCGTCCGAGAGTAAGAACTCTTAACCTGTCAGTTTACACTTTGCTATCCTCGTGCAAAACCCCAGCATTTAAAATTTTCCAGAAACATTGTCATTGAAACATGAAACATTCACCGAATACTACTTTACAAGTACCATGATGAGATGAATACAGGGAAGAAAACTCTTTTCCTAACGTGCTGTGCATCCTGACTCGAGTTCGAATGTTCGGGGGAACATAAACGCCATCTTATTCCTATTTTGTGTATTTTATTGGGGACCCGGACATTGCGTCTGCAACGAACCCATGTGTACGTCTGGACCACATTCGCACAGAGGTACGTACGGAGGTACGCATGCTGACCCGAAGAACACAAATATGTACGTCTCACATTTGTATCTCTCCTTGTACGTTTCTACTTCGCTGTGTGAAGCCAAAAAAAAAAACCATCGCACGACCAACAGTCCAACAATCCGTCACGCACGAGAGACGAGAGCGAACTGCGGAGGAAACCAGGCCCAGCGGCTGCGTCCACAAGTTTTCGTGCCCTCGGGCCACGGCCTCCCCTCCTCGACTCCCTTCCGCGTCTGATCGTCACAACTGATAAAACGTCGGGGTTCCCTCGGCTGAGGTATCTCGCTTCCAACTTCCAACGCGTACGATGCTCGCTGAAAAATAACTACTGAAATAACTGATGACTCTCGTTATCGTGGCGAACAGGCATGTTCGCGTTCGACATCGGCAAAAAATAACCATCGGCTTCGCTTTGGTGATGTAATTCTAAAATCCTACATTAGTTATAGCTTGCAAATAGTCACAGTCTCTTCCCGACCGGGACAATGAGTATCGATAGTGTCACAGCGTGTCACGTGGCAAGTGAATGAAAATCCATCAAAGGGTCTCTAGGCTCCTGGAAAAATCAGAATGGGGAAGTGAACCATTTTGTTTCTCATGAGCTGGCGCCGATTCTTTCTTAAGAAGCCACTCCAAAGGGATGATTCACTACAGCGGCGATTTAGGCGCCATCTCACTTCTGTCATGAGAACCTTGCTTGTTCGAGTAACTGTCAGATGGCTTGGCTTGTCTGTTGCTCATTTATTTCCCTCGAGTTTTTGACGCATCATTTTTTTACCTCGGGCACCCATAGAGTCAAGCCCCCTCGGGAATTTTTATTCTGTTAGTCTAGATCCATCTAATGGCACCAATGATGTCACACGCTGAACGCATTTGGGCACACCCCAATCAAAATTGCATATTATTCCTTTTGTCATACTTGTAACGATATTACGTCTACGGTCCGACTCTACCAGACTCGTAAGGGAGTTGGAATTCTCAGCGCAGCCGAGCAGACCTGTGAAATATGCACGTGCGGTTGCTGCATTTCGCAAAACCAAATGACTGATACAGGACAAGCCGATTCTTTGCCGACCTTGGGCCTGAACATCTCGGAGCGACGTATCTCTAATGTCCACATTAGAAATGAGTAGCTAGATTGCTGCAGGTTTGCGTTTCCAAAATTCAAACAGCTAAAAATAGAATGAAAAAACACTGGGGTACGAAATTCAATCCATATGCCGTTGAACACGTATTCTCAGGGGTTGAAGAGATAAGAGTTACACGTTGTAGATCGATGAAATCAGTTATGCGATAGCTGTCTCTCAGCCCCAAGTATCGAAGAAGCCTTTAAAAAAAGCAAAAAGAGAGATAGAAAAAGACATGACCCCGACGTGATTCGAACACGCAACCTTCTGATCTGGAGTCAGACGCGCTACCGTTGCGCCACGGAGCCCTCAGCCATATCTATTCTCTCACGACTCGATATGACAACGTGGAAGCCTGAATAGACAGAGACATCAATCGACAAAATGAAAATGACATCGAAATATTCCAGATATTAGCATATTGGAAATTATATGGGAATCGTTCCCACGACGAAACTGGGTCTGCCGTTTTTCAGTAAACCCCCGAGGACAAACTTTTTTCCCCAGGAACATACTAGTTTAAAGATTCGAACACGAGTTCCTTTATTACGTCGATCGCGCAAGGACAGCCACAATGTGCATATGGCACAGGAATCCATCGATGGTTGAATCATGAATGAGCCCAGCCCCTAGCGTGCAGGCGAATGCGGGATCGATACGGGGACACGAGGCGTCACAACCCTCCATATTGGCCTCGAGCTCACGTCCCCCCCGTGCCTCCCTAGCACTCCGTCCGTGTCGGGATCCGAAATGCAACTGAAGCATCTGAAGTCTCTCCTCCCCCACCAGGTGAGACCCTTTCCCCTCTCCCTCGATGCACCCCAGTCACGCTGCTTCACCTCGACCGCGCCGTGCAGGACGGAGCAGCGAAGGTGAGCGCCGTCGCCTGGGCCCCCAACAACCTCAAACTGGCCGTTTGCACCTGGGATCGGATCGTCGTCCTCTTTGACGAAACCGGCGAGAAGAAGGACAAATTCTCTACCAAACCGGCCGACCCAAAGGTAGGTTGAATCATAAGCTAGACCCAGTCGAATCGATGAAGTGAGAGAATAACAGGCTGGGTGCAGTCCAGCAATCGATTTCCTTTCACTCGAGTATGACATTATTATCGTTTTATCACATTAATATTCATTCCGAATCTCGACCTCTACGATAAATTTCTATGCTAGAGGTAAAACAAAGTCAACCGGCTCCCTGCCTTCGTGTCCACATTTCGCCGTAGTCCATGAATGTATACATTTATATTTAAAAAAAAAAAACAAAGGTGGTGCCAGGTAGACAGGATAGGGCTGAGTGGACTCTTAATAATATTTAATTTTCACCCATTGCAGTACAGAGACGGAAATACTCGTCGCCTGACAAACGTCTGGAACATGCGTTTTTGTTCTATATTTTCGAAACGCACTTCCTCAATACTTGATGTCGATTCTCAATAGTCTTCCGATCCATCTGACCCAGCAAATTCACTAGATGTCAGCACTTCGTTTGCTTGCAAAAATGTTTATTTTCGCAGATTTAACCACTGGCACACCACCAAAATTCGTACTGAAATGCGATTATGGAAAGACCTTCGGGAATCACGTCAGAAAACGTCGATATAAGCATATATGTATATGGAGGGTCTGGTATGAGAGGGATTTGATCGCAGAGACGACCATTATTATATTGGGTGGCCCAAAAAAACGTTCCGAACTTTACACGCCTGCAGACGATGTACCATATGAGTTATTGACAGGAAATTTACAGGTTTTTATATGCAATGTTTGCAGGTAATGTAACAAAAATTTAATTGAAATTAGTTGTAAACTAGGTGAGTAACGAATGAGTAACCTGATATAAGTATATGTAAACATTTTTTCGCAATGTTTTCTAGTATTCTAAGAAAAGCTACATGGTCCGAGGATTGGCGTTCTCCCCGGACTCCTCAAAACTCGCGGTAGGTCAAACGGATAACATCATCTACGTCTACCGCATCGGAGAAGGATGGTAAGTCTAAAAAAAAATATATAATAATAAAATTAAAATAAAAACAGCTGCACTTATACTCTACTCCGAATCCCTCGGCGTTTCAGGAACGAAAAGAAGGTGATCTGTAACAAGTTCCTTCAGTCGAGTGCCGTCACGTGTTTAGCGTGGCCTCTGGAAGGCCCGATCGTATATGGCTTGGCCGATGGCAAAGTGCGGGAAGCGAACGTGAAAACGGGCAAAAGCAAAACTCTCTACGGCAGTGATTCCTACGTCTGCTCCCTGACTACCAGGTTCCCACAAATACCTCATCTTCCTGCACTTTTTCAGCTGCACTGATGATGCATCGAAGGTTTCCTAACGCAGCCCTAATGGAAAGGGGATTCTGTCGGGCCATGCAGACGGAAGCGTGGTGAGATATTACGTGGCCGAAGACGAAAACCCTTATCCCCAAGTGAGCCCTCTCACCCTCTCATTCACACCTATAAAGAAAAAAAAAACCCTGACCACGGACTTTTTCGCAGGGCAAAGTGGTGAGCGTCCCCGTCCCCCCATACGGACTGGCTTGGACCTCGAACCACGTGCTGATCGCCGGCTGCGACAAGCGAGTGCTCTTTTACACTCCCGAAGGGAAACTGTCACAGACGTTCGATTACACCAAGGACGACTCGGAGAAGGAATTCACGACGGCCGTGGCGAGTCCGAGCGGGCAGACCGTGGTTATCGGGAGCTATGATAGGTCAGACAGGGTCGAGAGAGGGCAGAGAGAGAGAATCAGATTTTAATCAATACATAGAATCTATATTTATGTATTTTAAAAATATTTTTACCGCTGTAGATTGAGGGTGTATGCCTACAGCCCAGGCAAGGGCACGTGGGAGGAGGCGAAGAGCAAGGAAATACCTAATTTGTACACGATCACGAGCCTGGCTTGGAAACGAGATGGGTCACGAATCGCGTGTGGAACACTCTGTGGAGGAGTGGAAATGTTCAACACTGTTCTCAAGTAACTTACTCTTTCACCTCGGCCGTTTCCCTGAAAAATACGCCGAGAACATCTCACAGATGCAAAAATGCGATTAAATTCACCATTTTTCCCCACCCCGATTTCATCCCACCAGACGGTCGGTGTGGAAAAACAAATGGGAGATGACGTACGTGGGCCCGAGCCAAGTCCTGATCAAGCCGCTCCAGGGCGGCGGGCGCGGCGTCAGCCTCAAGTCCAAGTACGGCTACGAGATCCAAGACGTGAAGATCATGGGTCGGGAGCAGTTCCTCATGGCACGCACGCCGGACACTCTTCTCCTGGGGGATTTGGGCAAGAACTTGCTCAGCGAGGTCGTGTGGACCAACACGGGGGGGAACGAGAAGTTCTACTTCGACAACGACAATGTGGCTATGATCTTTAATGCTGGGGAATTGTCGCTCGTCGAGTATGGGACCAACGAGATTCTCGTCACCGTTCGGTAGCATTTTCTTCTTTTTTTTCATCTGGACGATGGGAATCGAAATATGCTGTTTTTTCGTCGTTCAGGACGGAATTCATGAATCCTCACCTTATCAGCGTCCGGATCAACGAAAGAAAACACCGAGGCGTGGAGGAGAACAAGAAGATGGCCTATCTCCTCGACCTGAAAACCATTCGAATCCGTAAGAACCCTTTCAAAAGAACCACGCACAACCGACAAATTTGACAACCGTATTTTTCGTCCCCCGGTGAAGTGGACCTCACAGACGGCATGACCCTCGGCGAGGTGACCCACGACGCCAAGATCGACTGGCTGGAACTGAACGAGACGGGGCGGAAACTCCTCTTCCGGGACCGGCGGCTGCACCTCAATCTGCTGGACCTGGACACGCAGCAGAAGTTCCCAATCCTCAACTACTGCGGATTCGTGTCTGTGAGTGAACCGAATCGCGCACGAGCAGGCATTTCAGTGCAAATATCTACTCGTGCGAATTCGCGCAGTGGGTGCCGGGGAGCGACGTGGTCGTGGCGCAGAACAGAGGGAATTTGTGCATCTGGTACAACATCGACACGCCGGAGCGAATGTCCATGATCCCAGTCAAGGGTGAGGTCGTCGAAATCGAACGAAACGACGGCAAGACCGAGGTAAGAGAAATGGTCAATCTTAGAGTTGCTGATCGACGACACCGCCTGTTTTTATTTATTTATTTATTTATTTATTAGAAACAGAGCATTTCGACTGAGTACGGTCCTATCTTTTCCCCCGTGTCTTTTGATATCTCGTGTCTCGATGGCGGCAAATAGCACCACATTCGAATCTAGTTATTATCTATAATGGGAATACTATAACTTTCTTTTTTTTTAAATTAAAATAACTAATGTTAAAACTGCTTTAATATGCCGCACTTGGCAGCTGCCAGAACAAGAGCAAAATGCTTAGCAAAAATGCCTCACAGAAGATGCTATTCTTTTTACTCCCGCGTTCCTCTTCTTGCCTTCAAGTGGATTCACATTCGCGAGCAAATTTTGTTGTGCAAATTTCGGAGAAACCTCTTTCATTCTCTCGCAAACGTCGAAGAATTCCATCATTCATCAAAGGGAGCCCTTTTCCTTTGGATTTGGAGTTATGGCTCGCGTGAAGACACTAGTAACTCTGTTTAGACACATCCATGTGGTCCACTGCCAGTAAAAGTGGCACACCCCTGCACTAAATAAATACACATTGCAGACCCCTTACTTAGGGGCTGCTATATTATGGATGAAAATACGATTATTTGGTCAAACCATGATGAGGGGGAAGTCGCATGATTCGAAGCCGGGAGAGCCCTCATATTATATTCTGGATTTAAATAGACGATTTGCGTTTCGGATTTCTTTTACTGCGGAGGGATCTAGTTGATTTCCAGTAAAATTAATCGTGAAAGAGAAAAATCATTCCCTCCGAGGGAAGATTAAAATACTGTAAAACTTTGATGGCTAAAAAATAAAAAGGCTCGAGGGACGCCGAATCTCAATGAAGAGCCCTTCGTTCGTGAATCCTTTGTTGTGAAGGTGGTAGTGGCGGAAGGAAACCACCAGACGTCGTATCAACTGGACGAGGGACTCATCGAATTCGGGACTGCCATCGACGACGGCGACCTGAGTCGAGCCGTCGCGTTCTTGGAGACGCTGGAGATGACCCCCGAGGCCGAGGCCATGTGGAGGACCCTGGCCAAGATATCCCTGGAGACGCGGCAGCTGGACTACGCCGAGAGGTGCTACTCCGCCCTGGGAGACGTGGCGAAGGCCAGGTACTTGCGGGAAATGAACGAGATCGCCGAGAGAGCCTCGCAGACGATGGGTGGGGAGGGCACGGACTATTATGAGGTTCGCGCTCGGATGGCCATCTTGGAGAACCAATTCCCCATCGCTGAGGCCATATACCTGGAGCAAAACCAACTGGACCACGCCATTCAGATGTATCAGCAGCTGCACCGATGGGAGGATGCTCTGAAACTGGCCGAGACGCGGGGCCATCCGGACCTCGAACACCTGCGGTCCTCGTACATCAAATGGCTGCTGGAATCGGGACAAGAGGAGAAGGCTGGGGCACTGTTGGAAACCGAGGGGGACTACATGGGCGCCATCAACATGTACTTGAAGGGGGGACTGCCGACCAGGGCTGCCAGACTCGCCTCCTCCGTGCCGGAGCTGAAGTCCGACCTCGAACTCATTCAGAAGATCGCCAATGGGCTGCTCAAGGGTGAATTCCACGACAAGGCCGGAGATTTGTACCGAGAGGTCAACGACGAACGAAAGGCGATGGAATGCTACCGAAAAGGCGGGGCTTACGCCAAAGCGGTGGAACTGGCCCGTGACTCCTTCCCGGCCGAGGTCGTCAGCCTGGAGGAGGAATGGGGTGATCACCTCATGGTCGAAAAGCAGATGGACGCCGCCATCAACCATTATATCGAGGCAGGGCAGACGATGAAGGCGTTGGACGCATCGGTCGCCGCCAGGCAGTGGAAGCGGGCCGCGCAGATCATCCAGGTCGTCGACGATCCCGCGTCCCTCGGCAAGTACTGCCAAAAGCTGGCCCAGCATTATGCCTCGGTCGGGGACTACCAGACGGCCGAGAAGTTCTACGTCGACGCGGGGATGTACAAGGACGCCATCGAGATGTACAACCAGACCGGACAGTGGGAACGGGCCCACCAACTGGCTTCCCAACACCTCAAACGAGAAGAAGTGGCGGAGATGTACATCCGACAAGCGCAGGTCCTGGAGGAACAGGGGAAATTCCGCGATGCCGAGCGCCTTTACATCGCCGTCTCCGAGCCGGACCTCGCCATCACGATGTACAAGAACCACAGGATGTACGACCAGATGATGAAGCTGGTCACACAGTACCACCCCGACCTGGTCTCGTCCACCCACATGCACCTTGCCAAAGAAATGGAAGCAGAAGGAAGCTACCAGCAGGCCGAGCAATACTACGTAAAGGCCGAGGACTGGAAGTCTGCTGTGAGCATGTACCGCGGGGCGGAGATGTGGGAAGATGCCTACAGGGTTGCCAAAAATCACGGAGGACCTCAGGCTGGAAAGCAAGTGGCTTTCATCTGGGCCAAATCTCTGGGCGGAGACTCGGCCGTAAAGCTGCTGAACAAGTTCAACCTCCTGGAACAATGCATCGACTATGCCTGCGAGAATTACATGTTCGACTTCGCCTTCGACCTCGCCAAGACAGCCATGAAGCAGAAGACCCCAGACATCCACTACAAATACGCCATGGCCTTGGAAGACGACGGAAAGTTCCGCGAAGCGGAGGAGGAGTTCATCAAAGCCGGAAAAGCGAAGGAAGCCGTCCTCATGTACGTCCACAACCAAGACTGGGAAGCGGCTCAGAGAGTGGCGGAATCCCACGATCCGGACTCGGTGAACGACGTCCTCACGGGCCAGGCCAAGGTCATGTTCCAGGCAAGGGATTTCCCGCGGTTCGAGTCCCTCTTGCTCAGGGCACAAAGACCCGAGATCGCCATCAAGCTCTACAAGGAAGCCGGGATGTGGAACGAAGCCCTCAGGCTCTGCAAAGAATATCTGCCCCATAAATTGCAGACCCTACAAGACGAATACGATCGCAGCGTGATGACCCGAGACGGCCAAGACCCGAAGACTCTCCTGGCACAGGCCTCGGAATGGGAGCAAGCCGGCGAATACAACCGAGCCATCGACTGCTACCTGCGAGTTTCCCCAGAGATGTCTCAAGATCCCAAAGTGGCAGAGAAAGCCTGGTCCAAGGCCGGCGACATCGCACTCAAGTTCCTGGAGGAAGAAAAGGGCCTGGAATTGGCCAAGAGCGTGGCAAACCGCCTGCACCAGAACGGCTACTTCAACGCGGCGGCCCAGCTCTACCTGGCCGTTGACATGATCCGCGAGGCGATCGAATCTCTCATTTCGGGAGAGGAGTGGAGCAAGGCGAAGAAGGTGGCCCAGGAGCTGGACCCGAGATTCGAGACCTACGTCGACTCCAAATACAAAGAGTTCCTGAAGACCGCGGGGAAGACGGATCAGCTGGCCAGCGTGGACCTCATCGGGGCTCTGGACATGTACGCCCAGCAAGGGAACTGGCAGAAATGCATCGACACGGCCAAGCAGCACGGACCCCAGGTCCTTCACAAGTACCTGGCCTTGTATGCGACCCAGCTGATCAAGGACAGGCAGCCGGTAGAAGCGATGAACCTCTACGTGAAGCACGGGGCTCCAGCAAACGAACAGAACCTGAACATCTACAAGAAGATCGCCACAGACATCTTCGGCCTCAGGAATCTTCGGACGTCCCAGGCCTACGACACGTGGGCGCATCTGAGGGGAATGCTGCTCAACATCTGGAAGGCCCTCCCGACGCCGGGGGGGATGAAGGAGGAATTCGAGAAGCTTCTCCTCGTCGCCCATTACTATTCGAATCGGTCGGCGTTTTTGAGCAAGAAGAGCATGGAGACGATGGCGGCGAAGCTGTCCATCTCGTTGCTTCGACACAGCGATGTCGTGCCGGCGGATAAGGCATTCTACGAGGCCGGGACGGACGCCAAGAAGGTCGGCTGGGACAGCATGGCTTTCGTGTTTCTCAATCGGTATCTGGATCTATATGATGCCATCGAGGAAGGCTCCACGGATCTCTTGGATCATTCGGATTTTGTGGACACGGATATCCCGTTCGAGGTGCCTTTGCCCGAGGCGCCTCATTTGACCGAGGCGGAGCATGAAGAGATCAAGGAATGGGTCCTGGCAATCAGCATGGATCAAAAGATCGGACAGGTCGGTCTTGATCATTGTCCCATCGCTCTTATTCACTAGGATTTATCCAAGGTTAAACAATTAAACTAAAACATAATTCTTGGAGTTCTTTCATTGTTAAAAATTGGGATAATTTAGGATTTTCATCCTAAAAATAAATCTAAGAATTTAAAATTCATAAACTAAAAAAAAATTAATTATTCCGCTTCCCCCCCTCTCCTCCAGTCGCTCCCCTTGGACGAAAGGATGACATACGAGGCATCCCTGGTGTCGAAGAACAACCCCCCAGCCCAGCCCTGCCTGGTGACCGGCTATCCCGTCCTTCGAACCCGAGTGGAATTCCAGCAGGGCAGCCGCGTTGCCAACAAGGAGGACTGGAACAAACTCCTCATGGAGGCCAAGATGACGCAGAGCAACGACTGCCAGGATGTCATCAATTTCATCACGCAGTGGGCCGGTGGGACCTCCAACCCCGGCTATTCCTTTCAGTGAATCTTCACCTCAAAGGGAGAGCGAGCAACATCCAGATTCCTAGTATTTATGAATGTATTTTTTTTCCCACCGAAATAATGTTTCTATAAACCATACAAAGTATGACATTTTTACGGATGAATTCAGAGATGATGCATCAACACTTCGATGCACTAGCGAACCGCATGAGTTTTCTTCATGTATCGCGGCATGACCGCCTGCAAAATCTGATTCGTGTTTTATCTCCACTTAGAGAGATGGCTCAAAAATCATAACACAGATTCTCTTCTTATGGGAAGGGAAATCAACACCAATGTGATGCAGATAAATACCAGCGATTTTTCAGGGCATATGGAATATGATGAGCTTTTACCAGAAATGAAAGGGGTCAAAGATGAAAGCTGGAATAGAATAAGCGCTTGGCTTAGCACATGTCAACTGACAGGGAAGAAATGAGACTGTTAAGTCACGGTATTTCATCCAAATAAGGCCTTGGGAGTCCCGGAAACCTTCAACCTTTTCTGAATCATAAACACCCATCATAATGCAGGGTATATTGGCATTTGAAATATATATATTTCTTCCGTAATAAGAAGTTTAACATCTAGTGTGGGTTTTGAGTGAAGGTCGTCCAACCTCTTGTTTTTTTTTTTGCCATCCCTCCCTCTCAAGCTCATTTCTCAAGAGCTTATTTCCCTTTCCGCCAGAGCCTTTGCATTACTATCATCGGCACCAAATATTGATATTACGTTTTCCCGGCACTGGCTTTATATCATTAGAGGCCTTCAATGGGCAATGGGAGTCGTTTCACTTTCCACGAAGGGGCAAGGCACGTCTCACATTCAGCACCGACTTTTACGCAATTAAGATCGACAACAGTGCTCCGCAGTTGAATTCAACCTCCAACAATAGCATCCATCGACGAGAAGGACGAATCCAGATTGAAGACATACCAATCGTTCAGCTGCTCGAAGTTTCGTACTTGGAAGTACTGTAGAAGGTGCCTCAGTGATGCTGGGGCTAGTCTCAAATCTCGATTATGGTCCGTCGAGAAAAATATAAAGATCAAGAAGAGTTGTGAAAAAACATAGGTGCAAGAGCTCCTGTTCCCGTCCCAATTTTCCAGAAATTGATTTTTAAAATGTCATGTCATGTTTATGACCGCGAAACTAAACTAACCTTCTCACTTTTGGGTACCCCCGCAAAGAAAAAATACGGTTAAATTACCCATACCAAGAAGAACAATATTATTCTTAAAAATGCACAGCTTAATTATAATTACTTAATCTCTGAGACACCCTTTATACAGTATGTCAGAAAAATTGCATGAATTCAGAGATTAAAACCTTTGCGAGATGGATTCCTGCAGCAGCGTAGCGTCGGGAGGGGGGGCTTGCCCCTTTCTTCCACTTTTCGAAAAAGAAGTAGAAGATAAAAGATGCATGAAATGCACAAGTGAGGCTCAGAGCTTTCTTCCTCCCCTCGCTTTTTAAATCCATGCTACCCTTATGTATTCAACCTGAGTTTCAGTTTCCACTTTGACACTACCAAGGAAGCAAGGAATCCATCCCTAAAAATGTTTATCATGTCACCACACGACAGAAAGAGAAATAAAGTACTTCAGCGTTTAAAGCAGACATTGCATTGAGGATTTGGCATTGAATAATATATTACTTATGAAAATTTCACTTCAAGACTCACAAATGAAAATCAGAAATAAAAAAGAAAATTCAAGAGAGACAAAACCTAAGGATGAAATGCCAATTTTATTGCCAGATGTTCATTCTATCAAAAGGATTTTAATAAATTTATTTTCATTCAGGCTTTCAGAATGAACATAGACTCTCAAACCATGAACACACAGCCTGTTGACTTCCCATGAAGCTCGAAATGATTTAGATGTCATGGCTTGAAGTCACCACCAGCATTCTTCTCAAGTTGGACCTTCTTTTTCAATTTCAATATGCTGCTTCTTCACACACTTCCGAAATTCCTGAAAAATTTCCTGGGAGATTTCACAGGCCAATTTCATGCACTTGATGAATGTTTCTGCAGTGAACTGGCCATCTGCATGAGAGGCTACAAGTTCCAGATTCTGGCTCTCAAATGCAAAGGTCAACAAAGACTCACATTCCTGCAAAGGACACAATAAAATATCTGTATCCAATCCATGATGCTTTCAAAACAAGAAGGGAAAGTCATGACTCACTTCTTCCTGTGTGTCATCAGGATCAACAATGAGATCATCATCTTTGGAAATGCCAATAGTGACTGCTGCAAAAGTGGAATTCATTGGAACTCCTGCATCCAGAAGAGCAAGGCAGCAAGCATTCAGGCAACAGGACAGAAGCTGGAGATAAAAGAAATATAAAGTATTGAAACAAGTCTCATCAATCTTTGAGGGAAATGCATCCTGTGAGAGACACTATGGGGAGAGAGGGACAAGGAAATACATTTCCTGGCTGTATGATGTCAGCAAAATGTTTTCAGGGCTGTATTAGACCAACTGTTATTATGCCAATTGCATCATTTCCCTCCTCAGAGTTCCTGAGAAATTTTGGAATATCCATCCATCTAAAAGGGTGAACCCATACTTCCTGCTTTCACTCTCATATTAAATGGGAAGAAAAATCAAGAACAGCAGCTGAGTAGCAACACAATGCAATTAAATGACTGTTCTGCTGTCATTCATACATATATAAATTCAAGCATTGTGATTAGTTAAAGTTAAGTGTTCAAGTTATAATGATACATAAGCTACTTAAATTACCAAATTCTCTTCCATAATATCCCTACACTAATATTTCTAAATGTCTTCTCTATAAATGCATGGATTAAGGAGAAACTTTGCCAGTAGTCAGAAGAATCCAGGTACAGACCAATTCAATCACATCCTGATAAGCTTTTTCAATTTCTTTCTCTTCATGTATTTTGAAAGGCATTCTACAGGATTCATGAGCTATCACTCCTTACAAACCTGATCTTTTAGTTGCACCCTCAAGTCACAGCTACCATTTCTTCTCAATTTCTTTGAGCATATTCACAATTATACAAATGCAGTTCGTGTCTGGATGTATGAATGAATTCTGTATCTTTGGTTGAGAAAAACATGCAATATTGCATTTATGACCAGCCTGAGACAACATTTCTGGACTCACTCCTAGTCAATAGGAAGCATTTCACTTTGTTCTTCCTTCTCAAAAAATCCTTGAACCTGAACACTCTTCCTTCAAAAGCATTAATAACAACAAAGCATACAAATCGTGTCAACATACACTGGTTGTGGTCATCAACAAACACAACATATGCTTTAAACATGCTTTACAATGAAATTTGTCTGCTTGCTTTGCTCCCATCTGTTCACAAGGCATTCAGATTGAAAGAGTAGCATGATTACTGAGGCACTTTTGGTAGAAGTCTTTTCAAAGCTAACCTGTTAAAATTTTAGCTCCAGCCATGATATTAATGGGGCTACAGGTTTTGGACCCATTATTACCCACCATGCAAGCTAATACTGCAAACACAATCTTTCCTTCATGCCAGAATATTGTCTCTCTTCATTAGGAATAAGAAATTATGGTATATTTTTATCCAGAGTAACTCTTGGTAAAAAACCTTTATTGTGAGAACCTTGAAAAAAAAAAAAAAACCACACCCTACCCTAAATTCAAAATAAATTTCATCTAGGAGCTCCCTTTCACTCAATGAATCAGGCCATAAAAACAAACCTATTGGTAACAGTGTACTCCTCTACCCATTTCAGATAATATTAATGTCATCTAAAGGCCACTTCCACTTTGTTGTATAAACAAAGTGGAAGTGGCTTTATGATTTCTCTCATACTCCCACCCCCCTAAATCACTACTCACATTGTCCAATAGCCACCTTATGTATATCAGGGGTTGCGCTAGGATTCTCGCCATGGCCTCCTGTCCATACATCCTGGGGGTCCTGGGACCCCCGGGACGCACAAGCAGAAGGCCCAAAACAGCTGGATTAAATATCATATTGCTCTGTTCTGTTAAGTCGGCAAATACACATGGATTGTTGGACTTTTCCTTTTAGGGGAACCCTTCAAGATGGAAAGTAACCTCATGAATTATCAGGGGATCTATCAATATTAGACATGAGGGTCCTGGGGACCCCTACGGCAAGAAACCTAGCGCAACCCCTGTATATACTGTATTTTTCACTTGACTTTGACACTCATGCATGAGGAATGTCCCATGCAAGAGTTTCCAAGTCAAGTCTGTATGAAGTACGGTTAATCTGACAACACAGCTGACACAAAAATGAACTTAGCTAAAGCACAACTCCATGTAATATCAAGTAGTCTACCCTTTTCAAACCCAAAACTAAAATAAATATTTTCAATTTCCATTCACATAGATTTTCAATAAATTCTACAAGTCTTTATACATGTTTACAAGCAGGAATCTTACTTTATACTCTCTAAGTAATAAGAGAATCTATACATACTGAGCCATAATTTTGCATTTCCAAAAGTATAATGGAAATAGCAGAGCGAGGATGGAGAGTTGTCAGGATAGCTGTCTCACATGCATCACGAACTGACTTCTCCAGCAGTACATAATTTCCTGGGGAAATAAAAACAGACATGAAACCACAATCATAATAATCTTCCAATGGTTAGGACTATGAGTACTGATATGTATTGTGCTAAAACACTTATGCAGTTGTAATAAACCTCCATGTATAGGGTCCCAAGGAAAGAATAATACAAGAATTTCATTGAAACCAATAATAATTTCAAGTCATAGCTCAATTTGGGAAATGATTCATATGATTGACCGCTGCATCTATCTAACGCCATTGCAATACAGCAACTCATGAGCAAAACTCCATGGTGTGACTGAATTATTTCAACAATCCACAGTTGTTATGATTTCACATGATAGAATATCATCAATTATGAATGCTCTGGTTGGGAACATGGATTCCAGGCCTAAATTGCTGCCAATGCTAATAAGACAAAGGACAATGAGAATGATATTTTTTTCTAACCTCCAGTGCCAGTACTCTTAGTCCTGAATATCACTTCAATGGTGGCTTTGTCCATAATCTCCTTTTGTAGCTTCACTTCTGCTGGTCCTGTTGCTTGTGCAGATATCACAGTATCCCCTATATGGAATAGCCCAAGTTCATAAGTTTATCATCCCAGGATTCTCCTGTTGGGATAGTCAAATCACTCTGGCATAAAATGACTCACCTTGCATGCAAATAGCAGCTCCATCACCTCTTGCATAACATGACATCTGAAGAATCATGGGTCTTAGTTTTAGATACTCATTTGCTGTTGCACTGACCTCCTTTTGCTTTGCATTAAGCTCAACCTCAAGAGACTTCCCAGTGTCTTGGGTTGTGATTTTGACTCTTGCATCACCCTTCATTCAGGCACTTCTATGACTTCTGTCTCTGACAACTTGAGGTCAATATGTTCAGAATATGGGCTTAAAAGACCTATAAAGACAATATAAAATTTTTGTTGCCCTTGAGTTCTACCTTTTGGAGTGAATTGAAAAGGTGTCAACAGCAATCAAATCACTAGGCCTACTTGTAGCTAATAGATGTATATCATGAATTAGTAGTCAAGAAGGCAACAAGAAGTTGCTATATATAGCAATTTAAGCTACACCAACTCAGAAATAGTGTGATGATCTACTTTTCAACTCACCTATATTTTGTCTCTACATGCAGATTCACCAGCATAGGATACACATAATATACTGTACAAACTATTGAGTCTCCTTCAGGATAAGATTGCAGGAAATTGCTATGGGCGAATGGGAAAAAATTTGTTTGGGCAAAAGTGAAATTCTTATTTTTTTTATCTGCACAGTGATATATCAACTTTAGTATGAACTCTACTGATCCCAACAACTCCTTTCTTTCTTTGATGTTTCTCTTATTTATGGTGCTGAAAGCTGAATATCAAGTCAGTCTATCCAAACTTCTAGGCCAATAGAAAGATTTGATATTCTCAATATTATTAATAAGAGCTAACGTTAGATACTTGTGCCTTAATGGGTGGAATTATTAGGCTGAGAACTTAAAGGCAGGTTGAATAGGATGGCAAGAGGTCCTATATTATTTCAGGGCTCATTGTAATGATCCTCTTCTGCCTTTCCATACACAGACATAATTTTTATTGGAAGAATATCCATACTCTTGGCATCAACAGCCAAGAGTTGACAAAGTTTTAGAAAAGTCATATGACAATCTATCACCACAAGACAGTGAAATGATCAATTTCCATAATAAAAGCAGAGACCTGATTTTCAATACATATAATTTGCAACAAAAAACCACAACTGGTAATGAATGGCAATGGTTGAAATCATTTTGAAAGGCCAGTTCATCTTCAGTCGTTTTGATTGCTCCACGCCTGCTTATGGTTAGGCCAACATTGTAGTCGAAGAAAAGAGAAGATAGGCTTACGAGCAAGTTGTCAATCTAGGCCTATGCCAAGAAAGGGGAGTCAAGGAGGAACCCCATGGGGCACCAAATAGTACAGGGATGGGATGGGACTTATCACAAGTGATTTCGGAAGCGAACACTCTGCACTCTGCCTGGATCAAGGTTGCATTCATGAGTGCCCATAGGAACTCTGGATCGAAATAAAAATGTAAAATCATTGCAGCAAAGTCTACGTTTACAGTCCATGTGGTTGAACTATTCCACTACGCAAGATAGCAACGAGGTGACCATTATCGGCCACATGCTCGCGGTCTAAAGCGAACTTGGCCTCTGGACTCCTAACGAACATCGAGGAAAACACGACTCTTTCCATGTAACCTAGATGGCAGTCGTGTTGAGTCTCAGACCTCGCAGATTCTGCGCTAGCTTCTAGTCTTGTGAACGGGGCCCGGCCTAGAGCTAGCACCTCAACCTCGTCACCTCTTTTATAAACCCAGGCAGTTTTTCTGCTGTAGCTACTTCTTGGGGCTTCATGAGCCGTTCGTACCTTCTCTCAGATGGGTGGGTTAAACTCACACCGCAAAAGAGACCATGTGTTCCGAACAGTTTCTCCGGTACTGCCCCCTGTCCCTCAGATCAATAAGCTTTCTTGCGCTGGTGCAAGATGAGTGCAGTTGTAGAAGTAAGCCAATGTAGTTGCGAGGCGGAGTGGCATTCAGACAGGGCCGGATTAAGGGGGGGGGGGGGGGCTGTTGCCCCGGGCCCCCCTCTTCCAGGGGGGCCCCCGAAGGAAATTAACGTTAAATATTTGCATAAAGTTCCGAGTGGGGGGTGGGGAGTAGTCTCAAGAATCCACTTCCCCCAGGCCTCGCAACTTCCTTATCCGGCCCTGCGTTCAGATATTGCGGAGAAGGTGGTGGTGCTAACGTCTAATGAGGATGAAACGTTTTGCCTGCGAAAACTTCAACGGTTTGCATTTTCCGGAGTCTTATCTTGCATTATTTTAATTTTTCAATTAATTCAACCCAAGCCTTCAAAAACCGTCACGCTCAAAATCAATCCATGAAGGAACCAAATAAAATTCTTACTTTTTTTTAAGTTCTAAATTTCGTTTTAGAGCCTCAATAACTGAAAACCTCTAGAGTACAACGAACGTTTCAACAAGTTTTATCTTTTATGTCTTATCGAAAAGAAATTTGGGCGTCTGAATTTCGCTGTTGGAGGGGCGCTCCATGTCTAACGAGAATATAATATCAGAAAAAAAAGGGGAAAAGAAAAAATCCCAAGAAGTTTCATTTAAAAAGTTTATTTCGCCCACGGCGAAATAATCCAGGCGATGAAATTCTGTCATAGGATATGAAAAATGCAGATAAAGCGGCACATCCGAGAAACTGCAATTCATAACCCAGACTCCCAGCACGTCGTTAGACTTCGACCTCTTTTTTCTCATAATCATCAGAGATGATGGATGAGGCTCTAACTTTTTCGCCATTTGATGCTGAACTCAGTCAGACATTTCTAGTTAATCGCCTGGTTCGACACGACGTCCGGTAAACATAGAGTAACATTTCGGCAAATAATTACAATGGAAAATCGTTAACTCGATTCCTGATAAGCCGGAATTCCGCTTACCTCGAAGTTCAATGCTTGGTCCCGGCAGAATCCCTATGTTAAATATTCTGTTTAATTCGAATTCGCACATCGCGAATTCCCGGATATCTCGAACCACATTTTCCTTACCGGTTACTATTTTCTTACGGTTAACTCAAAGTTGGCTCGATTTCGGGGTGGGAAGGGAGAAAAAGTACTTTCATGGGACTTTTTGTGGGACGATTTTTTGAGTAGGGTGACAGGCAAGAAACATGTTTATGAGAAAGTTCTCTCTCTCTCTATTGCTCTCGCTTGGTGCCATTCCAATCATATTGTTTCCTATACGCCATTGGCGCAGCAAATGAGTCCACTCAAGAGGAAACTGAAAACTCTGCTAGACGATGCACTTGATTCAGACTGTCGAAGGCCAGCCGAAGCAAAAAGACTGAAAAAGCCGATAGAATAAGGAAGGAAAGGCGTCGTGATAAATGAGTTTTGCATATAGAGTATCAAAGTTTCTGTAGAGAAGAATCAAATTCAATTATAATGCCAAGGTCATAGCTACTTCAAATCGGTTCCTTGAAAACGGAAAAGTCGGCCTCTGGCTACATCCCTTAATGAGATATTTTTTAATGGGGCAATTCCTGATATGTCGAACTTTTCGAAACGATTTTCCACTGTAATTGGAACCTGCGGGGCGAATAGGCATCAGAAGAGTGCAAAGTGTTAATTGCCGGAACTTGAGTTCCTGCCTGGTTCTTCCAACCCAGAATTCCCGCGATGAGCGCCTCAGTGCTTATTTTTCCTGGATCCAGCCTGCCACAACCATCCCAGGCGGGAGACTGCGAGAGACTGCGGGACTGCTCTCCCGTCCTCCTCGACCCCGGCCGGATGCAACCTGTCGCGCCCACGCGGAATAAACCTTTCCACGCGCCACGTGGAAAGGTTTATTCCGCGTGGATGCGGCAAGGCCACGGCGAAGGGAAATGAGGATCTGCGAAGTCGCCAGCCGTTTCACCGAGTTTTTACCTCTCGATAAAATGGGAATTCGTTTTCATCTCGGAGTCGTCATCTCACCCATGGACTCGGTCAATATTACTGTCAGGTATGAGTAATATTTCCTTCTCGTCGTCCTGTATTTACGGTCTATTTTCGTCTCCCACCACATCCGAGTCATGAATTTCCATCATCATCGCATGACGCCTACTCGATATCGGAATTCGTGCGGGATCATGATGGATTTCTGGCGCTCCGGGCTCCATGGCCGCCACTAGTTCTAATCCGAGATATATCGGATTTAGAAAGGATTCAAAGGTTCATAGAGTCCACAGGATTAAAGAGCTCGTGAGAATTTAGTCAGCACATTTCGATTTAGTCGTCGTCTTGATCTCAGCAACTAAAATCAGCGACATTTTTGCTTTGCAGTCGAGCGGTGATTTTCGTCATTTTCTTCACCCAAAATTTAGTACGTCCGCTTAAGTCGTTTTAGTCGGTCTCTATCGTGGTCGTCATCATGTCATAAAATGGAAATCCCTTCATCCAATCCATGATAAATGCAGCATGATAAATCGCAAATTCTCTTCATAGGGAAGAAATAGCCTTTCATGCATCCGCGAATAATATCTGCGAGATCAACAAGTCCCGTGACTTGTTGATCTCAACAAGTCAACAAGAGAGAGAATAATATCCGCGAACGAGATCTGCGAATCAACAAGTCCCGTGCGTCGAGGGGCAATCATCTTAATATAAATTGGCTGGTGCCGCGTGGGAGAAGCAATTGTGAAAGGGACCAACCACAAGTGCCGCTTTATTGGGTTTGCTGACCCAGCTCCTCATGGTAAAGGTCAAGATTAGTTGATTGAATCGGATCATGGCGCGAATACGTAGAATAAAAGCAGACGGAACCCAATGCTATATTCGTGGGACTGCAGGACTGCAGCGATTTCTTTGATTCACTTCCCCAAGAAGTCGGCGAGACCAGCCGGTCTCGTTCAGACGAAGCATTAAGGTCATTAAGGCCACGATGAAGTGGAACGAGCAGAACGGGAAACGGATTAAGTTCTCAGCCCATGCGCAATGAAGTCGGGCATAGGCAGAGCGCCAAGGTCGCCGAAATTGGGAAATAAGGTCAGGAGGCCGAGGAACGACCAGAGACGAATGCTCACAAAGATCTTCAAGGCTTTTGATCGAAATGCGGAGTCAATCGTGCCCTTCAACAACGATAAGGATTTAGTTGTGAATGATTCAACATTTCCCTCCGCTTTCACGAGTGAATCTTTCAGACCTGGCCAATGTCCAATGGACGTTGCATTTACATTGTGTCTATGGCAATTTCTTGGGAATCTCGTGACTTTGCGCTCCATATTACGCTACAATAGGCGCAATTACGCACGGCTCAGTTATATCACAGGCCTTCTTTCACCCATTAGCTTTGTAATATTCCGTTATTTAATTAAATGTATAATATATAATATATGGTATGACATGGTAAGTTTATGCAAAATATGAAAACTACAAATAAAGCATTAAATTTTCAATTACAATCACGAAGAAGCTCCAAATTGCAAAAAATGATATTATTCCGATAGCGGCCTTAATTCAGGTCTGAAAGGGTTAAGGAGAGAAAGTTCTTAGCAGGATATTTTGCTAAATTCGGAAAGGTCCCGGTGGGATTCCTGTTTCTGTTCTCGATGAGCTCGGAATGTGAGAGTACCTTTAAGAATCGTTTTCGGGAAATAGCATTTTGCGTGGGGAAGTGCCTAGGGATTGCATGTGAGCCACACCGATCACTAAGAAGAACGAAAGCAATCAGGGGAATTGCAGGTCGATCGGTCTCGGGAGCATTCTGGGTGAGGATCATGCACCAATTATAAGGATTATGCACCAAATATAATTGCGATGCCAGGGTGCAAAGACCTTTCGCTGGTGCAACTAGCCGAACGAGTCATACGTCATGCTATTCTTTCGATGAAAGGTGAATTGTGTGTGGGGCTTCTCCCGCGGTCTGTTCCTTTGTGCTGTGGAAGGTGAAGGTGAAATTGCGGTTAAGGAGTTACCGCGTGACTTCATGTAATCCCGAGCACCGCGGGAAAAGGCTGAAATTCTTCCTACAGTCAAGGACAAGGTAAGTAAGTCAAGTGTAAAGGGCGAATGCCACTTTTCCTAATATTACGATGGTGGTCGTGTTGTCACTTCGTTCCGCTGGTGATGATGCAGCGTGAATGAAGATGGTGACAACTGACCAAAGCGTGAAGGAATATTTAATCGTTCCTCGATTCTCGAAGCGAAGGCATGGCTCATGAGAGAGGCGGAAATTCAAGACCTAGGGTGGATTTTTGAACAGAGTACTATCCGATAATGCTGCTTTATTTACCGGATTTATAATGCATTTCCTCAGAAATAAAGCTGCAATAACGGATAGTTCTCTGTTCAAAAATCCACCCCTAGCATCAAAGATGTCAGAACCAAGAAATGACGCCAAAATCGCCTTTGGAGTTCCAAAGCTAGTCGGCAGACACAATCGCGAGCAGACGACTCGTCCTCTCGAGAGCTCTGCGGATTGATCGACGAGAGAGATGTTGTCTGCTCACATTTGCCTCTGATCGGTTCCAGCGTTTTGGCAGAGATCAGCGATCGGACGGTCGGTTGACAAATTAGTGAAGGGCGGGAGGAGAGGGGGGATTTTTTTGCTTCTCCGCTGTTGCATGTTGTGCAGAACCGGGCGAAAAAAAAATCTTTCAGCAGCCAATATGGGCTAAGCCCAAGATAAATGAGTAAATATTCTGGCTGCGGGGGATTCACCGGCAAACAGAAATATGCGTTATATCAGTCTACACCAGGTTTCATACGTGTCGAATAACACGTTTAAAAACCTGCTAAACAACAACATTAAACAGCAATGTCGTACTTTACCATTTTATTTAGAAATAGAATATTCATTTTCAGCCGATGAAGATATGTGCTTGATTTCACTGGATTTTCATGATCACGGAGGAGGAGAGATCACTCAGAATGAGTCCCAACGGCTCAAAGACTGACGGGGGCTTTTTCGATCCCTTCATCCTCCTCGGCCCGGGTGTATTTCACGTGATGGCCGGAGGTGTAGGAGTTGGTGTATGGTCGTTTCTTGCTGTACATGAAATAAATCATGCCGGCCGAGGAGAGGATGATGATGAGGAGGGCGATGATGACCAGGGCCACGACGGCTCCCCCGCTCGATTTGGCGTCGACCACGCGTTGCTGGTGGTGGTCCAGTCGGCCGTCGTCGGGGATGTTGCAAGGGGTCTCCATGTCTTTGTCGTTGTAGTAGAAGTCGAGATCTCGCTTCTTTACGTCATCCGGCGAGCCGCATCTGCGTTAAACGAGATCAAGGAAATTTTCATGTTGGTATGCCAATGGCATGTCATGGTTTTCCAGTTAGAAATCTGACGGCTTTGTCATGATAAAAAAAGGCCTTTGGCTGGCTACAGTTGCCTTATCGAATGTCTTATCTTGCGCCACAATGTTTTTCCGTCTGCCACAGGAGAGGACGGATGTGATAACATGCACAAAGAGCAATGGGGTGCTTGGTCACCGTTCCTCCTCAGAATTTTTTTTATTAGTGATTAAATTCATATTTGTAACAAATATAGTATGTCACGGTGCTGTGCGCCGTGACATCACTTACATAACGTTGAAAAGACGTCTGATAATACAAATCGACTCTTCAGTAGCTACGTTCTTTCTCCCTTCTCCCATCTTGTGCTAAAAATTTCTTGAATAGACCTATTTCGTGTACTCACGTGATGTCAAAAGTCCTGCTCATGTCTTTCTTCATCAGCATCTCTATGAGGCCCTTCATCCAGGCATTTCGGCAGTCGCATCGGTAAGGATTTTTCTGAATGTCCAAGACTTTCAGCTTGTCCCATTCCACCAGATTCTTTGGCAGGAACTTGATGTCGTTGCCATTCAAGTACAGCTACGGGGTTGAATCCATGAAAACCAATTATAGAAAAATTTATATAACCAGAAAGAAATAGACAGACAGACAGACCTCTTGAAGCACGAAGTCCTCCCCTCGTCCTATCTTCCCGAATGCGTCAGGATGGATCTGTTCGAGCTCGTCGTTGTCCGTGAGACGAAGGACTTCCAAGCTCTTGAGGTCCTCGAATGCTCCCTGGGACACGAATCTCAGGTCGAGCATCTTGCTCATGTTGAGGGTGACCAGACTCTCCAGGCCCTTGAATTCCCCTGCGTTCAGGGAGGTGATGGGATTCATATTCATATTCAGATTGTGGAGCTCTCGACAGGAAGACAATTCCTCGGGGATCTTGGTGAATTGGTTTTCAGCGAGGATCACAGTCTTCAGGTTTTGAAAGCCGTCGAAGAAGGCGTGGGGGAGGCTTTTCAATTCTGTAGCTGCCAAATTCAGGGTTTCGAGGTTGTGGATAGAAGTGACAGCTATGGCCGTCTGATGATCGATGTTCCTCAAAGGATTGTAATCGAGTCGAAGTTCTTTGACCGTATCAAGGTGTTCAAAGGCGTCTTTGTCGATGGCATGCAAATGATTGTGAGAGAGATCCACAAGTTCCAGGGGGAGTAAGTCCCAACCCATCAATCCGGACAGGAGCGAATCCGGTCCAATGAAGCTCTCTCGGTTGAAGCCATCCATACTTAGACTATTGTGGCTCAGGTCCAGTCTCCTGAGAGATACCAGATTCTGGAACGCTTTAGGTTGGATCTTTTGGACCTTGCAATATCTCATAGAGAGGGAGACAATGGGCAACTTTGCCCAAGGCTCTATCACTGGAATCTCGTTCTGATCCATGATCAATTCCAGTTCCCCACCCGATTCCCACGTCGCCTGGGTCCACACGCGATTGAAGTTGACGTTAGTGCAGACGATTCGCACAGGATTTACATCCTTGTCACAGGAACACAACTTACAGATGGTGCCTTCGTCGTATATCGTGTCATTTTGGGACACGACGAATCCAATTAAACACACGACCAAGAGAAACTTGATCATTTTCGAAGGTGGGATCCGTAATAACGCTTCCACGTACTGTAGATGCAACGGCGACACAGATAAGGGAACGATGGAGGCCTACGCGATGGTTTCACCAGGGGCTTATCGCTTCCGACCTTTTATCGGTAGATAGGAGAGGAAGGAAAGCAAACGCAGAATGAGTCAAAATGAACAGATCCACGTATATTCTCTCTCTCTCTCTTAACGAAGACAGCATAGAAGAGCAACGAGATCAAGGAATGACTAGGAAACAACTGCATAAATGATCAGACCCGACTAGAATATCTTTCTAGGATGAGGCTGCAAAGGCCTCTTTTTCGCGCGGAGGAAATTTTCGCGGTCAGTATTATCGAAAAATGCTTGATGATGTCATGCAAAGAATATTCAACTCTCAATGCATTGGGTAAGCATTAAAGAAAGCAATATTGAGGAATTAATTTTTGTAGCAACAAGTTGGGGAGTCATGTCATTTTTCTTATCAGCGGTACACAGTTGTATCTTATGACACAGGCACCATTCCCCAACATGTTATGCTTCCTACTCCAAACTGGCAACGTTGTGGGGTGAATAGAATTTGCATAACAAGCATCGAATCGAATTTTCACCTTACTGAAATTTCAAAACGATCAGCTTTCGAAGAAACCGATCAATTCTGATCCGCGAGAAAAAGTGCCTACGCAGAAAACTTGGAATGCTTTTCGCTTTCTTACATGCCAAGTGAGTCACATCGACAGAGTTATGGACATGAGGTATATAACATCAACGTTCCTCAGCACTATGAATGAACAAGATAGGAATCGTTAATAGACGAGAAACGCCTGACTCTTTCTGAAAGTCATGACCGCCTTGAGCAACTCCCCGGTGTTCAATCCTCGATCGATAACGATTCCGTCGAAAATACCCTCTTCCATAACGCTCCGACCAGGGAAAACAATACAGAAATGCGTAATCATCCGAAAGTATCACTCTCTCATAAGTAATCGAGTCTTTGGCACGAACACGCTTCGCTCTTAGTCACGAAGGGAATGTGGGGAGAGGCTGCCCGAGCACACCGTTCAATGAGTTTCCCCTCTAGTTCACACGAAAAACTCGATCTTGGGGGCTAGCTGGTGCTCCAGTTCAGCGTTGTTGTACACCTCGGTAGCCTGCATCACAAAAACGGCAGAAAAGGGTTTCATCAGACACCTGCTTGCATACGGACATGCGAAAGAAGAGAGGATGGAGAATGTGGAAATGCCGGCTTATCGCGATTTCCGGTTTCTGTTTGTCCAAGGCTACATGCCTGCATAGATTCCGTTTTATAATTCCCTCACGATGCCTAGGAATTCATTGCGATCGTCTCATCACACGCTATGTGAAGTAAATGCAAACATTGAAAATGTTAATGTGCTACGAATGCACTTTAAATGTCAGATGGCCATGACGTATTGACTGACTCAGTTATTTCCGCGAATCATACAGACTTCCAGTAGGTTTACTGTTATCTACCTACATACTGTATCTCTAGGACAGGAAGCTTTCAAGAGAGATAATGCTCACGTTTTGAATCTCCTTGATGATCTCCTGAAGTTGCTGTTCGTGGGATTTGCGAAGCTTCTCCTTCTCCTTGTCCTGCTTCATGGCCGCCATTTTTCTCTCGTCAATGAACTTCTTGGTGTTGTTCTGGTTCTTTTCTCGGAGCCGCCTTTCCTTTTCTGCCTTGTTCCTCAGTGTCTTGTCGTTCGCCACTTCCTTGGCAGTTTCCATTGAGATCCTCGCTTGGCGTGACTTCATCTCCTTGTTCTCTCTACGGAAAAAAAAAACTTTAGGAGAAAACGAGGAAGGGAATGGTTTCTGTTCTTCGCTCATATTTGACAATGGTTCCCAGTGAAGGCAAGGATCTCTGAGGGTCATTAAGCTTCTTCAGTTCATTCTATTAAGCACAGCACTTTAAAGTCTCAACGAGGTCTCCTGTTAATAACCTGCTCTGTATGGCATGTAGGTCTAAAGAAAGCATTCTTTTCTCATCGTGCAGCCCGTTCTCTTGCCTTAATCATCTTAGTCGTTCTCTATCGCACCCCTTTAATTGCTTCATTTCCGGTCGAGAAGATGAATGACAAACAGAACAGTATTTCAGTAAGTTCCATTCCATTTTTTAAAGAAATCCTCTCCAGCTCTTCTCTGCTCCTGATTTTCAATCCCAAAAGTCACTTTGCTATCAGCAAATTTTATAAAATTCCAAAATTTGTCCATGCGTTCATAAATATATACAAGAAAGCGGAGCAGACAAAGAAACAGTCCTTCAATCCACTTTCCATTAATTACTAAACTTTGTCTTCTCCAAGGTCTATACACGGACTATCTATGGGCAACTCTTTTGCTATTGAATCGGAAGAAACCATTTTTTAGTGCCGATTGACTATCTGAAGACCTGAAGCTTCCCTCCTACGTCGGTGTGATGGAAAACTAACATCTCTGACCTAGTTTGCGTTTAAGCAAGCCGACGATGTGCTCCAGCACGTCCAGATTACCAGAAGAGAAGGGATTATTATAGAGGGCTTTCGCACCAAGTTAATGATATCCTGAATGAACCTTATTTCTGACGAAGCTCATTACCATATACATGGACGAAAGAAACTTCAGAATGAGCGATTCTGAGGAAAAGAAACTAGAATATTTAGAAGCTTCTGCAATCCTTTAGTGTAGCAGTCTGGTGCCCGAATTCTCGGAAATGCATACCTTGCTGGAAAAAAAATATTCACGAGATTTTCTTATGGAGGTCTCACGAGGCCTCATAGAATCCTCACAATCCTTATTAGGAATTCGGCAGATCTCATAAAAAATGTCGAGATATCTCATGAGAACTAATGAGTTATTAATGAGGTTTTTTTCCAGCAGGGCAATGGAGTTATTCTCTATCTGAGAATGACATGAATAAGAAGAAAATGTTCACTTAATGTTATAAAAATACGCTAAAGCATCTCTTCAGTTTGCTAAAGCCAAAACAAGTGTCAGAAACCTATTCTTATCCGTAACAAAGTGAAAGATGGAAAGATGTGCCATCATTCAGAGTCCTACAGATAGTCAATCTACTGTACTAGTACAATATAAAAAGTTACTTCAGAGTTAATACGAAAGAGTTCCCTGTAGTTGCTTTTGAAGTCATGCGTTCGCGAAGGTTCAGTTCTTGGTCCGCTCCGCTTTCTTATGCATTCTTATACCTGTACCACTATATATTACTCTTTTAATTTGGGAATTTTGCATTGAATCCCCAATGATAGCATAAAAATATTAAAATCTCGATGCACTACAGCTACAGACTTAATCTTGTTTTGCTTATCGATAACCCAATCGTAGAACATAACTAAGTTAGCCTAATATGACGCTTTTCTGAAAGTATCGATCCTAGACGCTATAAACCTGTGATCATGTAAGATACTCTTAAATGATTAACCAATGATTTTGACGAATTGGTCTGCAATTTCTTGAGTAATCCCTTTTTACCCTTCCTAAAGATGGGAACTGCACGGGTAATCATCCAATCACATGGTATATTACTGGATGATAAACGACTTCGAGGACAGGCCATTAAGAAGACGCCTCTTTAACGGTTCTGCCTCCAATCCTATCTGCTTGCGCTAATTTTTTTTTTCGCAAATGAGCCTTCCGGGGTTGGTAAACATTATTTAATATCTGACCGGTTATTACACAAGGAAATTCATAGGTGATTCAAGGGTGTACTAGCCTTGTGCAAACTAGTCGCAAGAGAAACGCGGTATAACATACAAGAGCACGCGACAATCGTCAGAGTCCAAGGACGTATGGGAGAGGAAGTCTGCTTTAATATACCTGTACTGTACTGTATCTGTAACAGGTGAAATATTCGAGAACCCTTACGGAAAAAACTTGTTGAAATTGAAATCGGTGAATCAACGGTGACTCACCGTTGAATCACCGGTGAGATATTCGTACGGGAAATGAGAATTAAGACAGCAGAAAGCGACAGGGCTGGGTCGACAATCAGCAGATGTCATGCAAGTCCTTAGCATGAAAGGACATTTGTAGCACGATGCGCCAAAGCTGCCTAGGGGCCGTTGTTCAGGCATAATGCTCCAACTCGAGCTCTGGCAACACGGTTAGGAAGCGATTGGTACAGGAGATTACCTTGGGAGTGGTGCTCAGTTGAAATGAGCCAAGAGCTTGTCTTACACAAAGGGGTGCTCATTTATTTAAAGGTGGTAATGAACATGAATGGGGGCGTTCCAACCACTTAATTAAATCGAGAGCACCAGGCCTTGGCATGGTTGTGTTTTCATAACGATTCTCAATCAGTCTGTGGCCTCTGTAGATTTTCTATGATTCAGGCTGCGATAGCTTCGCACACGGTTGTGTGGCAATTAAGGAAGAGAAACAATTTTTTTGTCCAAAATGTTGATTTAAGACCTAATCTGACAAAAGTGCGACCGTCCACCCTCGTCTCCGATCAACCAAGTTACACCTATACTGTCTCATTCAACTAAGGTCATCTTCCTGCTGGAAAGCATCCTTGAATGCCTGCCTCGACTGTGGCAGAACAGTAAAGGATGCCACGCTTACGCTGTGTCACTTTGCTTTTACGCCTCTCTTCGACAGTAGTGGATGCCTGTAAGATGCAGATAATAGGCAGTCCTGTTTTTGGGGTGACTAATTTGCACATTGGTTGAACCCTGATGCAAATAATAAACTCATCTGTGAGATACACGATTCCAGTTTAAATGAAAATAACAAGTTTGGTTCCATTATCAATCATTTCATATCATATGTAATTATGGCTTGCAGAAGATTGTCTTTACCTCTCCTGCTTCTCTTCCAACTGCTTCATCTGAAGAGCATGGGCAGTCTCGATTAGCTTTCGAAGGAGTTCTTCTTGGACCTTGAGATGGCCTTTCCTCATAGTCAACTCCTCCTTCTTTTGCTTGCTCACCAGATCCGTCCATTGAGTCACCTGCTCCCCGACAACGGTTTGAACAGTGGGATCTTCAATCATGGCGTTTCTGCTGCAAGTAGAAATAAGTCACATTATTCCTTTCGTTGGCGAACAGCCAGAGCCACTGGACAGGATGGGATTTTTTTCTCCTGTGCAGTGCTATTAATATAATCCAGAGCTGAAGGAGAGCAGAACCCACTCTTTGAATCCTCGAAGGAGCTTGTCAATGGCTGCGCACTGAGACTTTTGCATGGTTACTCTTTCCTTCAGCTGGCGCCTTCTCAGGACTTCAACCTCTTTCTGCTGTTTCTTCGTCAGTTTCACAAACACTTTCTCGTTTCTCAGGACTTCCAACGTGATAGGCTCAAGCTTGAGCTCCTCTGCAACAGATGGATTTCACCTTTGGATTTTCTCACGTCACAGAGGCTAAAGCCTTCATGTATGTGTCTAGCCATAGAATTGTTCACCTGCTTACTGCAGAAACTGAGGCCCGACTGCACTAACCTCACTTAGGGGATATAAAGGTGCCTTTAAGCTAAATAGCTCTTTTCCCGCTATATTAAGGAGGTTTCAGCATTCGGGCCTAAGGTCTGAATGCTGGAACCTCATATACTTAAGGGTCCTTTAAGAATACATGGACTTCTATGAGAAGAGAGCTCTTCAACTTAAAGGCCCCCCCCCCTCCGTATATCCCCTAAATGAGGTTTGCGCATTCGGGCAGTAACCACCTAAGACCTGGGTGGTATGTACAAGAGTCAAATCCTGTGGTTTTATTTTTAGAGGGGTTAGAGAGTTTCCGATTGAAATAACCAGTTCAAAAATTCTCTCCCTTTTTAAAATTTAGTTCACCTTACTTTGTGATAATATCCACTTTTGTCCCAAAATGCACAGACAAGGAAAAGGTAAAGCATCCGGAAAATATATCTCACCTTTCCTATCGTCGTCTTTCTTGACCGCTAAGGAATTCCCGAGTCCGGAGAGGGAAGAGGCGCTTTTGTGTGACTGCATACCGAGCTTGAGGTCTTTCGTGTTGATGTCTGATTCCTCGATCCCCATCGCCTTCATCTGCTGGGCCCGCTTCTCCCGAGCCGACCAGCAGAACCGCGGGTCCGACAGCGCATCCATCAGGTCTACAGTAGTAGTCAACACTTAGCTGTTAGCACTTGCAGCATACAGAGTTCAAACATCGAATCAATCGTTCCCTCTCGTATTTTTCACCCACTCTCTTACTCTCGCTTTCGAATCTTATTTTAATTTCAGATTGCCTATTTTCATTTGTATGTGGATACGGCAATTGACTCCATTTCCATTCTGCTGATTGCAAATTCAGGGCCCTTTCCATTTTCGTATCTTCTCCAATATAAAGTTCGTGATATCTCTCGCCCTCTTATACAAGCTCTCCTCCATTCTCATTCGTGAATCGATACCCGATATAGGGAGGAGCTGCTCCCCAGTTCGAGGAAATACAGCTGCGAAGAAGAATATTCGTGATAGTACCCGAGTCCTACATACAGGGAAGAGGTAGCTCAGACACACTTCGGATTCTGCCGGCACGCGATTATCAATGTCCTGCTAAAGATCTAATCAGTGACACCAAAGTCACGAAATATCGTCAGTCGCAGTTTTTCTTCGGTCACGTTTCTGAGGCATATGAGCTATTTCAAGACTACTGTTTTTGTCCATAATGAGGAAAATGGTGATTAAATTCTGTTTTCCTTTTTAACTTGGGCAATAATTTATTCTCCCATATTCTAGTTTCTCAACTTCCATCATTTCTATTACGAGTTATATAATTTCATTCCTATTTTCATTCACATAATAGAAGACTCCCACTTTCCGTGCAACTGATGGAGGTTGAACTAATTTGGGACGGAGAAAGGCTTGGCTTGGGTGGGATTACTTATAATTACTTAAGGATTCCGAGACGCCCGATTTCATTTCTAAGAATATGAAAAAGTTTTCAACTTCACTTTACCGCTTTTTATATTCCAATTTGACGGTTGCACACTTCATCTTATCGTGTTGTCATATCTAATTTATGCCACTTGCAATCGAAATATCATCTTACCATCTGAGCCCCTACGTCGCAGACGATTCCGCGAGATCAAAGAATCGATTTGCCTAGGAAAAACACAAATGGAGCGACAGGATACCAGCTTCGTTCGGCGTTATGATTCGTGTAAAGTTACCACGTCATTGGACCGATGGAGCCATAAAAAAAATTCATTTTCCAAGTGAGGAAAGACGGACGCAAATCGCCTTCTGCCCTCGCCCCAAATTCATTTTATAAAAAGCTTTTGGGATCAATGCGGTGATTTAAAGAAGCTATTTCATGTGAAGATGGAGAATGAAATCCCTGTCGTCGTTTCTTTGTTCATGATTATTAAGAGTGAAAATTGAAGGCAAGCTCTTAATAAAGTCTGTCGCAATCGTCGCTGGAGAGGGAAAAGGGACTGAGTGCCAAAACATGCTAACATGAGTAATAGCCATTGTGATGTTACCTGCCTCCTGGGAAAGGGCCGAAAAACGCCATGCACTTGGAGTGTTGCCATTTTCTGCTGCGTATCGACCGCCACTGAGCTCGTCGTAAGAAAATACATTACGATAACACCCCACGAAATTTAGGCCGAGTGATTCCATCGAGATATTATTCTCCGATGCCCATATACTTCTCTGAAGATAATATATATTCGAGTCTGGAGAGTTCGCTCCCGAATCTCGTAGGTTTTTCGGAGGAATCAACCATCTCGTCAGTCAGCGTTGCCGACTTTGAACACTCACTGAGAGATAGAGCAGTCCTCTTGAAAATCAAATCTGGGCTTTATAAGGTCAAATGGCAGTGCGGCAATATGTTGGAGAGAAATTTGAAATGGTTACGTAGAATCGAAAGGCGGTGGAATGAAGAAAACCCTAAATCTTTTCATCTTATTAACATGTATTAACCCATTTTCATCTAAATCTGACTCGAAATCTTGGGCTGCCTGAATTTTCTTAACTTGTCTTTTGAATGGCCTACTCATGCGAACACTTTCCAAGATTCCACACCATACAATAAGACGCATCCAAGGAACACGGGAGTGGCCATGCTTACATCAAAATAAGTTTTCGTCGCCTAAACACTAAGTTTGTGGTGGACTAAAGTCCACCACGTTGGAAGGGCATAATTTTAAAGCATCCCATTTTTGGACGCAGTAAGATTATTTTTTTTTAATCGCAAATCATTCAGAGAATTTATCGTTAGAAGCCATTTACATATTAAATTTTCAATGACGAGAGGTGGAAGACAGACCTTCGAGCCCGTCAGGGACGTAGATTTCGAGTTCAATGTTGCAGAAGAGCATGGGTAGAGACATGGGGAAATTCCCTTCCGTCCTCAGCGAGATATGACGGTAACCCGTCTGAAGACCATCCAAGGGGAGGATCCGCTGTCCTAGAAGCTTCCCGTTCTCATCGTAAACGCCAAACCTCAGCACGGCCAAGTCCGGCAGCACCACCTTCCCGACAGATATTTAAAAAGGTCATTAAATGATTGCCTGCTTTTTTTTTAGAAGGGTTAAGATAAAAATCATACCTTTCGGAAGATGAAGGGATCTTCATTATAGACTGGATTGAGACCGTTGGCTGGGATAAGCCTGGTTCGGAACTCTTTCCGGATTGTGTCAGTGGGAAGGCCATACATGTCCACTTCCACATATGTCCCCACTTTCTTATCCGACAGAAATTGACCAGCTATCACCTGTTTCATAGAATAAAAGTTTGATTGCTCTATTCCATGGAAACGAAGACCTTCATCCATCGTATAATCCCTTCAATATTGCTTCAATCCCTGTCGGAGTTAACCTAAGTCAGAACAAGAACCCCTTCTGCGGCTTTCATAAGAAAATGTTTTGTACCATTGTTTTTTTTTCCATGATTCCCAGCTTCTTTGCGAGACAAGAAAGCATGTGCAATCGTTAATATGTCCTAAGTGGGTAAGAGTTTTATAATGGAAAGTCAATCGAGTTCCATTTTTTATTGACTTTTCTATGCTCAAATTCAAAGCAACTGTACCGAGTATCTTCCCAGTCACATCCGCTGGCTTCGTAATTCGTCTGATGTTGTACCGAGATGATATTCACCTCCTCGGGCTGGATTCAGTGATTGACCCCATTTTCAAGATGCGTCTTTTAGTCTTTTAGATTTTTAGAGTCCCAGATAATATTTTTTTTCCAACATGCAGTTCTTTGAAATTTTCTGGCAAGTTGCTGAAACATTTAAAACTGTTCCGGAAAACCAAAAATGTTGCCCGAAATTTAACTGAAACTTCCTGGTGATAACCGGGAATTTCAGGGGCATTGGGATCCATCCCAAAAGATAGATGGAAATCTGCCAGAAATAGTGTAAATTGACTGTTCTGATAAAAATCTAAATCTAAAATGTCAAGCAGTATTCCAGCTCTTGGTATGAAATTTTCATTTTCACTGGTATCAGAAATATTGATCTGTTAGCTGAAATTTAAATGCTAAATTGCATTAAAAGAGGTCAAATACTATCTAGAAGACAAAATAGTATAGTACGGTAGAGTGTCTCAAATTCCATCTCTCCACATACAGTCTGAAGTCTGAAGCTATTGTCCAGAAAATTTGTTTGAGGTTGTAGCTCAGAAAGATAAATGGAATGGAGCAGCGGACAGGTTTGGAGGCTCTTGACAATAGAAGATGGGAGTGCCTTTACTCTAATCAATGTCCTACGTCGCATCTGCTGCACTTTTATCTTCACTAGCCAGCAATACATCTCTCTCATGTCGAAAGAAACAAGAGAGCCAGAGGGCATTGGCACAAGGGACACTGAAATCCACTTTTCTTCGACCATCAATCACGCGTGGCATTTAATCGAAATCTCCGTCTGTAGAGCAACAAAAGAAAAGAATAGACGCTTCTTTCTTTTGCCCAAAACAAGGGGAAACCATCTGGCCCAGTTCAGAAGCGCTTCTTCATGAGACCTCGAGGAATGAAGGCAGAGTGAAACGTTGCAGCTTGCACTCTTGAAGCTAAATTCTTACAGCGATCCTGTGCCTGTGCGTCCCTTCTAACGCTGCAATTTCTGGCGCTGACGATGCCGAAAACCTCCAGGTAAAGAGGTAGCGCGGAACCTGGAGTACGCTAACTGTCTGAAGCTGTCAATGGATAGCGCCTCAGGCTTTTCGGGCATTTTGCCTAAAAATTTGCCTGATGGTGGCCTGGTCGATGCGTATCTTAGATTTCCGTTTATCCCTCTCATTCAGAAAGTCTTTTTTTAAGCTAATGATAAGCTCTCCAAGACCACCCCATCAGTGGGTTGCAGTTCAGAAAAAAATTAGAGTTGAGTAAACTCGGCAGAAAAGTGGAACGGAAGGGTAAGAAAGAAAACGCGACCAATGAAGCATCAAATCGATAGTGAGGGCTGGAAAGCGGAATGGAAACCCTCTCGAAAGTTTTTCTTCCGGCACAGCGCATCTGAATCCTCCGCGCTTCGATCCTCTCCTTGCTCTCAAAAAAAAATCCGTTGCATATCCCCATTCCCACGCAACGGATATATCGAGGGGGTGAGCGCGACGAGACCGTACCTGGACGGTGCACTGAGCCGCGATGACTCCATCGACGGGTGATTCTGAGAAGGGGTCAAAGAGCCGGTCTGCTCTCCGCATGAAGTCCGGCTTCAGCAAGTACCCGCAGTTCCCATTGTATTCGAACTTCCCTTGATTCAACTGCATGGCCACGTCCGGAGTCTGGAAATTCAGCGAGACCATCTGGCAGCCAGCGTTCCAGAAGATCTACAAAAAGGAAAATCGAAGCAGAACGATGAATGACGATTCACCGATAGACAGCAACAAGCACCGCACGTCGCAGATATGCGACGACACACCAGTGTTGGACATGTGCTACATCTACTTTGATTTTATGATTAGTGACTTTCCTGTCGATCGCCGAGAATAACCAAATCCTATCTCGATACACAGAGAACGAGTGAAGACAGACCCGACACAGGGATTCAAAGAATAGAAACAGGAAAGACGAGAAGTGAATGGAAGCGCGGAGTGGAACACTGATGGATTGATTGTCTTTCCTGGAAACGTGCTTCGGCTGACGCACCTGAGCCGAGTTGAGCATTCATCGAGTTTTCCTCTATTCCCCTAGTGGGGATGCTCTATTTTTGCAAGAGGAGTAAAAATGATACATTTCCCCAGGAAGTCTGAGGTTCATGTAGTTCCCTGCCATCGATTCCAGAATTTTTCTAGCACCCCCTGCACTCATCGCGGATATCGATCTTGTAAGAGGCAGTGCCCTCTGCTCTCGGCTGCGTCATGAATAAGGTAAGCCAGGCAGGGCTCTCACCGGATGGGAAAATAATATTTCGTGATGCAGCGACTTTATTCGTTGATCAGTACATCTAATCAGCCGAAGCCGGCTTGAATACCAAAAAAGCTTTAAATGTGCTTTAAATCCTGAAAGCACTTTATACTTAGGAAAAAAAAATCAATTATGGCCCCTCTGCGTTGCTTAGGAAACAATCCTCGTATACCTGTAGTCGTGGAAGCATGGCAAATAACGCCTTCATCTCGAAAATATTTTTGATGACTTAACGTCACTGCCGGTTGCCTTAACGATGAACAACATCGATCCACATTTCAGATGCGTATGTAGGTACAGGGTAGGCACCAGGTAGACGTACCTGTGGAAGGTAATTGGAGGAGTCCGCTCTCGTGCCTTTGGGGTAGATCCGACTCATCTGCCTCTTATTGTAGTTGACGAACTCAATGGCTTGGTTCTTCAGATAGCCCAGACCCGTCGTCTCCGCGAACGAGGACATCTGATACGTGATGTTCGTCTCTGCAGAGTAAGCACCACGAATAAAACGAAGGCCTTTCTCCAAAAAAAATGCTTTTCTCTGAATTGCCGTCGCAGGCGATTCGGAGAGGCGTAAAAAAGAATAATGACGTCTATTTAGTGGGATGAGTGTCGCGGTGAAGGCCAATGTCGCGGCTATCTCTGGGGGCCAATTTATGGCTGTCCCTTGCACAACAGGGTAATATGGCCCAAGAAGGAAGGGCCATTTCCGTTGCTGTCCGTGACATAACCTTCCTTATAAAGTGCATTTCCTCTCCAGACATAAGAGAGGGTTGTCAAGGACAACTTGGTAATCTCTCCCTCGATAGACGTAACAGACCTAAATAAGGTCTGCATTTGATCGTGTCTCAAGAGATGGAAAAGATAAAAAAAAAGCTCGCCCACACACCTTCGGCGAAATCGAACCCCTGGAATTTGATGGCCTGGCAATAGTTGACCATGGATGAGAGCCACGGATGGACCAGAGTCGTTGAGCCTTGGTAGATCGTTCCCAGAGGGAGTTGTTCCAATGGCATTTCTCCTCCCTCCTATATTAAACATTCATTTAAAAATATAATTAAAATTTTAATTTTTATGCTTACATTTTTTTTAATTTTGAAATATGGAGAGGAGAGTGCGATAGACAGACCTTGACTTCGGGAACAATGGGAACAATTGGAGCAGAAGCGTCTTGCTTCTCTTCGGCCACGTCCTCAGCACTGAATTGCCCCTTCCAGAAGAGTTCCAGTTCTTGTTTTTCTACGTCGGGGGGGAGACGCTTGTTTTTGATCAATATTTTCTTCTTCAGCTTCGCCGGCGCCGGGAGTGGAACCCCGAATTCAAGCTACATTACGATAAGGACCTTCCGTTATGTCATGCCCTTAAGAGCCGAGGGAAATGGTGTTCTGCCTTCATTAAGAGTGAAAAATTGAAAATTTCCTTCACCGGATTCTCGGAGAGAGGGTCCTTCAACAGGAGATCGCCGAAGATTTCGTCGCAATATTTGGCTAATTTGTACTGCTGCTTCATGCAGCAATGGTTTTCGAACGATAGGATCACCGGGTACTCCGACGTCACGAAGGCACAATCTCGGATGGCATAAATCACGTCCTGTATTAAATAAAATATTCCGGTCCCGGTTCACATCACTCTGAAGCAGAGCATGAAGCCTTCCATAATTCAATCTCACTTTGTGGTACATTTCACGGAAATGAACCCGAACTCCCTTCTATTCTTATCTATATAGCCCACCGGAGGAATGACGTGTATCTGAGATCGTTAGCGAAACCCTGGATAAAGAGAGAGGAATTTGCGGGGATTGCGGTTCGGCAGCTACGAGTCTCGGGGGAAATCACATATATATCCTTCCCGACGTTAACGTTAATAGTAACCAGTTCTGGCAGATGGAACGGTCAGGGTCAGATACTCCGTGCCATTCTGCCATGAGAAGATATTGCAGGGGAGCGAGTAGGACGGAGGTGTAATTGCTAGGTGAGGAATGAAAGAGAAAATCCCGAGGAAAAACCTAAATTAAGTTCATGAATGAAGAAAGACGTTACGACTGGTTCCAAGGGCAGGCCCATTACGACAATCCCTTGGAGGAGCTAAATCTTCCAAGACGCCATCATAATCATCTCTGCCCTTCAGGTCGATAACTGCGCGATGACGCAATCCGAATCCAAGGGAAAATATCTCCGAGAAATGTTGATAATGCGGATCCCTCAGACGATAAAATCCGAAGCCCTGGTGCTTTTAGCGTATTTGCACAATGTGTCAACTCGAAGGATTTCATTCCAAACAGATCGATTTCTTTTTTTCGTCAGGAAGGTGCACTTCCAAGGACGAAAAGACGCCCACTCGGACATCAAAACGCGCAAAAAAAAAGTTTCTTTCGATGAGAAATGTGGACGGCAAAAATAATTCTGTCCTGCTTCATCCAGCGCAGTCTCGGTTTTTTCTCTCACGAATGACGAGTACGAAAAAAATGCTTGATACAATTTCTTCTCCCCCATTATCCGAGGAGACCAATTCCAGGTCTGAATGCGGGAATGGACCCAAATCAAGTCATCGTTGCATCGGCTTAAGAGCAAGGGTCTTCCGATAACCATGGTAATCGTAACCCGAGAGCGACCGCTTCATCGTGGATACAGTGTCAACAGTATTCATTGACATTGAGACATTATCCTCCCCAAGGGATATTCCCCCTCTTTCCTTCCCATTATCCTGTCGTATTATCCATGAAATTGCCTGAATTTATGACTCCAGTGCGATCCATCTTATCGCCTGGATCAATCATGATTGTTCGGGAAGCCACACTTCGGCTTTCTTTTCGGGGATATTACGTTTTAGAATATCCAATATTATGCTTCTCAGGGTCAGTAGGAATACCATGCAGAGTTGTAATCGTTACCCGAAATGTTACTCGTTACCGTTATGCTTTCCTATTCCTTTGTAATTGGTTATCATTGCTGGTTACCTAAAAAAAAAATTAAGTAAAGTAAGCGTCGTTATTCTTTATTATTACTCGTTACTTAGAATCTTTGCAGTTATCCAAGAGAGCAAGGGTACACGATCTCGAAACTGCAACTTCTGAAGAGCCATCTTCTAGCTAGGGTACAGTGATGTTTAAGCAGGGATGTCATTTCATAAAACTGTAATGGAGGGTTCCATTACAGGCATAGCTGGATAAATATTTTAGGCGCGCATATACGGTGCGTATGTCCGCGTCCCCTCGCTCACATACCACTTCCGTCTCTCAAAACGGCACCGAATGAAGATGGGGGGGGGCAATGCAGTCTTTCGTTACGTCTGAGGAAAAGGAACGAGCTGCTGTTTCTCATTAATGACTTTAACGTATATATTGTAACAAGTACGCATGCTGCAACGCGATGTTGCATAATTCTGATATGGGCGGGATTTCAGCATTTACCAAATTTCCATCTCGTTGTAACTGAAACTTTTGAAAAGCTCCTGTTGGCGTTTAATTTTCTTAGATTGACTACATGAAACCAAAAGCAAACACCTGAATGGCCATTCACAGGAGACCACCTGTTTTTCATAGCCCCTTCTGATCCAAGGCCTGTTGCCGACCTCTGTTCTATATAAAGACTCGTCCTCCTCACAAATAAAAATGGGGAAGAACGTGGAAGGCAGAGGTATGAGGGGTACATATTAGTAGGTACTTGTCCCTTAATTTAAACTGATAAAGAAGAACCCCTACAGAAAAGGTTGTGAACAGAGTCAAGTTCTACTGACTGAAATATTCTGGGTCGGCGTATATCCTTGTTTGTTTTGGTCACTGGTGAATATCTAAGCAGGCAGTTACAGACCTAGTTCTTTCTGGCTCTATTTTGCTTATTTTTCAATGAGCAAGCCTACTCTTTTATTTCTTTTGTGATGGCAGCACTCCAAGGCAACCAGAAAATTGGCAAATGTGTAGACCTAGATCAAGGGAAGAAAAAAAAAACAAATGTAAACGGAACAGACAAGTAGGGTATCAGTTTAAGGGCTCCTCAAAGAACCAGACCAGTTCTTGCGTCTTTTTTTTTAGGACTTCACTTTTATTCTTTCTTGCTTCTGCTTTCGAATGTCTTTTTAAAAAATAGTCAAATGTCATATTCATATTTCTTTTTGTCCTTTAAATTAATAGAGCGGTTCAGAGGCAGATTTTTTTTGTCATTATACATGTTTGGTTGGAACTTTATCCCATGAGTGATGTTGAGACATGCTCCTAATGGCAACAGTGTCGCAATTCAGTTGAATATCCCACACATCCCACACAGCGCAAGTGTATCATAAAAATGTTCCAGAAATATCCCCAAGGGATGAGTAAGAAGTCTATGAGTTAACTTGTAGGGACATCTCAGGGTCAACAAGGAGTCTGGGCGAAAGGATGCCCTATTCTCATTGAAATGGATCTGCTTATCTGCAGCGCAAGACATTCCAACTCGCCCCTGGAGACAAGGAAGAAGTCCCAGATATGGATTTTGGGGACAAATTAGGTTACAGAAGTATCAGTCAGAGCAGGCATCTCAAAGACAAGCTAGAGGGAAAAGAAAAGTTCCATCCCTGAGAAAGATCGCTAAAATGTCTCCATGCTTTATGAGAAGTTTCGATGCGATTATGTCCGGCCAACGTTCCGAGTCCAGACCACCAGTCTTGCTCAGACGTGCCAATTCAATCCAATCTAATCCAAATCTAGAAAGGATTCAAGACCAAAAGCCCTTATCTTCCCCGAAATGTGTACTGCTGCTGCTATTGTTGACTCTGTCCCAGGAAATGACATCCCCGCATCGACTGATATGGGATACCGTAGAATTTCGCAAGCTTTCCACAGAGGCTCAAAATTTTCTTCTCAAAATATCCTCCTCGTATCCTCATCTCACACTCATTTTTTTTCCCATACTCATTTTTTTAAATTATTTTCTGCGCTCCATTTCGCAAAATAATGCTTCATCCTGAAGTTGCCTTCAGAGCCATTCCGCTGCATTAGCAGAGCCCCATGACCCAGAGAAAAAACCTCTGGTCGCATTTTTCATGGCTCATTTTTTGCTTTTTAGCTTCCCCCTCATGACATCCCGGCCCCGAGATCAATAAAAAGAAGTGTCCGGATCCTCCAGCACACAGACAGGCAATATGAAAAATGACACTGACGTTCGGATGGGTCCATTTCCCACGGTGCGAGGACGTGATCTACCCATCCTTCCTCCCCCTTTCTCTTCTCTCCGATGAGCTCATTTATCAAACCCTCGTTCCTATACACGATACTCGACGTCGGTACTTGGAGCCCTGCCAACTTCTTCGTGCTAGTCTTTTGTGTCCCCTCCTTTTGTGTCCCCGAACGGCTCTCTCCTTTTTCGAAGCTCAGAAAAAGCAGTCAAGCACCACGGGGGAAAAAAGTGAGTCGCCGAGAACCGTCGCTGATGACAGAGCAGAGGAAGGCAAGCAGGGACGCCAGAGGTATTTGTCCTTAATCTACAGGCCCATGTACGAAGGGCAGGATGGGGTATAACATGAGCAAACTCGTATAGAGGGGGATATATGAATCGATCGGCGGGTAGTACTAAAAGATATAATGAAAGAGACCCAACATTAATAAGGAAACGGAGACGCCGAAGGAGGAAAATCGGCCCCCACAAAGACCACACTCCTGATTGGGGAACTGGATGCACGATTTGCATGGATTCGAGATGAATTCGAGAGTAGAGATGGTGTGAGAAGGGATCATTCAGGATACACGAATGGGTGGAGAAACCGTCTAACGAGGCGGAAAGAACTAGGTCTGTAACTGCCTGCTTAGATATTCACCAGTGACCAAAACAAACAAGGATATACGCCGACCCAGAATATTTCAGTCAGTAGAACTTGACTCTGTTCACAACCTTTTCTGTATTCCACTTGGCAGCTACCGTATGGAATGGAGTTCGAATACTCATACCGTTTCCTATTATGAACCACTCCCCAATTCCTTTGTTAGAGAAAACAAACCATGAAGTCACAATACAGATCCTGGATGGAACCACACAAATGACATTTAAAAATTGAAAAGCAGGTGACGCCCCCATACCTTGAAGAGAATATCGGTGCACATGGCCTTGCCGTGTGTTAGAATCGGCTCCTCGTCTTCCCCTTTCCCATCCCAGCAGTCCAACTCTACGCATCTGAAAAAAAAACACCTCTTTTCCTGTTTATCTGAGTAGGGCTTGGACCCCGGATCTTCGTAATGAACTCCAGCCTGTTTACTCAGCACAGACACAGAATTCCCCCGAACTCCTTCCACCTCATCGACGGGGTTCCAATTACCTGCAGCCCGCCAGAAGAGTCTGCCGATACATTTCCACCGAGGACTTCCCACCGAACTGTCTCCCAGTTAGGTAGGTGTTATGAGAGGAGTTGATGTAGTAGTGTGATAAGGGCTGGTCCATGTCCATGTAGATGTCCAGTCTGTCCAGGAACACTGGGGCATTGTCGTCCGACATCAAATAGCGGATCAAACCGTCCTTGCTTAGCAACTCTGCAATATACATGCGCACGCACTCTTTTCAAACGATCAATGTATTTGGTGCAACGCTGCACTGTAAAAATGTTCAGATGTGAAATTTTCGAAAAATCAAAATCTACACATTCAATGTAAAACACTTTTCCATTACGCTAGATTACGCTTTTCCATTACATTACGCTAGATTTAAGGAAGTGATTATCTGCCTGAAGTCGTCAATGTCAAGAATGGTAGCACGACCCGGTGTGACACCGGCATTTGCAAGATAGTCAAGGCATTCCTGCGGTCGATAACCCGACATGCAGTTGGAAGTACTTTATTGATGGTGGATTTTGATAAAGTGGTTGCGGCTTGTCTATAAATACTTGTGATTACGTTCCTAATTGGGGAGTGGTTCATAATAGGAAACGGTATGAGTATTCGAACTCCATTCCATACGGTAGCTGCCAAGTGGAACGAGGTCACAGGAAGTATCTGGATTCTGGTTGAAACTGTGTCAGAGGAGGAGACTGATGGGGGCAGGGGGGGGGGGGGGGTGCGAGGGAGAGATACGGCGAGGAGTGAAGAATGTCCTTGCCCCGATTGCCCTTTGCCACGATTGCCCTTGCCTTTCGCGCCCTCATCGACGGAGCCTTTACCGAGGCGAAGCGGAATCGATGTCGAGGTCTCCGTTTGCAGAGTATTGCGTTTCGCAACGGTAGTGAATGACACGTGTTTTGACAGGAAGGTGTCTCGCGGGTGTATTTGTTGTCACCTTCCTCGTTCGCGATTGATAATGAATGCGAGGATGGGGATCTGGCAGCTGGTGGGCTTGGCAGGAAGGTATATACATACGGGAGAATAACCGGGGAAAAAGATGCTTCACCGTGGCAGGCATCCAAGAAAGAGAAAAACCGAGAATGGGGGGAAAAGGGTAACTCACTCTGTTTTTGGAGTTCCTCGCTTGGTTCGTAGGTCCGGATGATCTGAAGGGCTCGAGTTTCGTCGTAGAAAGGGTGGAGGATCTCGTTCAGGCGGGGATCCCGTTGCTTCTCGTTCAGAAAACTCACGAATTGAGTTACCGTGATGTGCTCCCCTTTCCCTTGATTTCTGGCAAGGGAAATGACCGATTTTACGACTTCATGGGTTTGAAAATTGCTTAGGAGTCTTGCAGAACTCATGAGGGTTCCTCATTCACGAGATAATTTCAACGTCAAGAAACTGCGTAGACATGGAGAAAGGCATGCTTCAATCTCCTGATTAATTTTGCATGTCTCTAGGAGAAAGTAATGGATTAAATCCGCAATTTTCGCATGAAGGACCTAAACTTCTCAATTAGGAGAAGATACAGTATCTGCTCTATCCCATCGGACCCCTCAACGCCTGAATGGAGTCATTTACTTTTGCCAAAGATGTCCCCAAGACATGAAAATGGATGAGAAGAGAAAGAGCTCTCTCACATGGTCTTGAAGAGTTCCTCGATGTCGTTCCGAGGGCATAGTTTGTGATATAGCTGGTAGAATTTCTCGAAAGTGAAGTCGGCCGGTTCGATCACGTCGTTCTGGGTGAAATAAAATAAAATAAAGCCTAAACAGACGAAAGTATATTGGGGTCACTGGGTTTGAAAAATGGTAGCGGGCTAGGGCCGCGATTATTTTCAAGTCAAACCAAACTAATCCATCATCTCTCAGCGTACTTTAGTTTCTTCTCTCTTTCGGCCAAACGGTAAAAATTTGGCTCAGCCTTATGAGCTCAAATTTAACGTAATGAAAGGAACGCTGATGGAATGTTAGCCTGAGACTTGTGGGAGAATAGATGGGCACGAGCAATATTGTGGTATAGAAGAGACTCGTAGCGTAATTGGCAAGATGGAATTTGATGGATAAGGCAGAACGGAGCAGGCATCTGTACCACGGAACTGCATAAACCCACAGAGCTCCAAGCTGAAAACCTGTCAGGATGTTGAACCCTTCTCGTTTATTGAATTCGAGGAGTGACACAATAAATTAATGAAGATGAATCGTCCCCGTTAAGAAAGCGGCGAGAATAAAGCCACGGCTTCATCGTTCATTCAAGGGTGAATTCCAATGCACTCCAAGGACGAATTCAATTCCATTTCATGAGTACTGCGTTTGTCACAGTGCACATTCCGTCCCGCAGCGATAACCCGGAACACGAACTGTTTATATTCTATCCCATTTTCCCATTGGGATTCCTCCGGGCGCCTCGAAGAGAAGCCCGTCAAGTGTCCCATTCCCATCGATGCCTCATACATACAAGGCTGAGAAATCCAATAGGTTTTCCCCTCTTTCTCCCTCTCCTTCTCTTCACTTCCCCCAAGGATACAGTAAACTCTTCGGATCGATAGCTATCTCTGAAATCATCCATGCTTGTGCGAAAATTATCTATTTCAACAAAAAATGTCATGAATTGCCAAGTTTGGAGTTCCAGATTCAATATTATTGCAAATCCAAGTAGAGGCACTCTTTTAAGCACCACAATACACCGATGCTTCCCAGACAAATCCGACATCACTGAATCTCGAAGATCGTTATTTCTCCCAAGGGTTTTGGCCTCCCAATCTTCCAAACCCCCTTCGGTACAAAACAAAGGATCACATGGGATCACACCCGAGAGGCAAGGAACTAGCTGGAATCGCCAGCTAAGACAAGGCATTTTTAGTTTCCATGTCAGAGCGTGGATGTCAAATTGACATCCACGATGACCAGGTGATATGCATGATTTGATGACCAGGTGATATGCATGGTTCATACGCGCGGCAATTTAGACAAGCTGTGATAATCTTCAATGAAGCTCTTTGTACTATTATATCAGTACTTTTCATTGTCATTGGAAGTGAGCTATTAACATTTTTCCCTCAACGTACTGTACAGTATATGTACGTCAGATGAATGAGGGAACGATGAACGGATTCGGTGTGAATACCATCAAGCCTCAGTACATTATAGCTTTCCATTTTGGAATTTACAAGAACCTCATCACGGACTGACTTTCCGAAACCAGGAACAGTCATTGCCAAAAGTTTTCTATCGCAGTTATCGCAAGGCAGAATAACAGGCGAGATTCGAACAGCGTGCGGTAAGCAACTACGAGAAACCAACTCACGAAAGTATAATTATTTTTTTAAATAATATTAGTATATTAGAATAATCTAAACGAGCAGATCGGCCGAGAAAAAAAAATACCGCTCCACGACCTTCGTGCTGCAAGTAAAAAAAATAATTGAATCTCTCTGGCAAATGGGAAGTGCATGAGGCAAGTTTGAAGTGACACTAGATCACAAATTCATGTAAATGGAAAGGAAGGAAGCAGAAAGCTGTATCCTCCTCGCAAATAACTGAATATTTCAGAGCCTACCTTTCCCCTCAGAAAATTGTATCCGGGAGTCAAAGTACGGAGGGGGAGGGGAGGAAGAGGTAGAACATAGGGCCGATAAAATATTAAAATCATGACGCCTTTCCTTCATCGTAGAATCATGAAATTTCACGTATATACCAAGGTATAGGGTGATTTAAAAAAAAAAACGCTCAACCGTTTTCTTTGGGAGAAACAGTTTCATAAATGCAAATAAATTTTTGCATTGACTACGCGATCGACGTTGGATGGTTACAAGATGCATCAGCTTTTTTTCCTGTCACCCCTGCATAAGTCGTGCAATGCCCACTTAGAAGTGAATTAAAGGTGCATAGAAGTGGATCATTCCACCTTAAAGTGAGGTGCTCATCAGTGCTCGAGCGTCTCAGAATTCAAATACATTTTTTAAAACGCCAGACGAGACGGCCGCAGACGAGAAAAATAACGAAAAATAATGAGAAAAACAGAGTGACGGTGCAAAACAAACTTTACTAAGCACCACATGACAAAACAACTCGGCATTCATGCCTTAATATGGTGGCCATTCTTGCCAATGCAATCCCTCATGCCTGGTTCACCTAGACCTATTCGCGGAAATCTGGGGTCATTGCGGATGCTGTTGCACAACATCTGACTTCCCATCGAGATGACCGGAACAGAAGCAAATGGATCTTTTTCATACAACTTACGCATCAGGTGCTCTCAAAGAAAAGTGGTTCTCCGGTGTTAGAAATAGTGCTGCAGAACTAGGCGGATAACTAGGGCTGTATGGGAGATAGCCCATCTTTTCATCAAACTGTTGCGCCAAGAAAACAGCTGACCGTCCCTCGGATCGCTAGGTCCCTAAACCTGACCCCTTTGGACTTTTTCTTTGAAAACACCAGTAGAATAAGGTGTATGAACACCAATGTGCTTCCGTTCCGGCCCTCTTCATGGGAAGTCACAGAAGTCGTGTAACAGCATTCGCAAAGACACCAACCGCGAATGGTTGTCAAGGTGAACCAGGCAATCATGAACAGGAGGAGAGATTGCATTGGCAAGAATGACCGCCAGATTAAGGCATATGAGTGTCGCGTTGTTTTGTCATGTGGTGCTTAGTAAAGTTTGTACGCCACAAAAATTTGATGCCATTGCTATATACAGTCGACGCTCGATACTACAAACTCGAAGGTACCGGCTAAACAAATTCGTTATAAGGAAAAATCGTTATATCAAGCGTCGACTGGATATATGACATTTCATGATTCTACGATGAAAGGAAGGCATCGAGATTAAAAGTTTTTATCGGTCCTATATTATGCCCCCACACCCAGGAGGCATTAGCTTAGCTAATAGATTCCGAGAATTTTCCCGACCGCTTCAAACTAGCTTTGTCTAACGTAGTGGAGGACAATTAATGAAAGAACTGACTTGCAATGGAAGTCAGACATGGATGTAGTCCGATGAGACAAGAAGCGTAAAAATCTTTGTGTCCTTTGGAGCCAATAATCGTAAAATTTTCACGTGTAATTCAATATTGCATAATCTGGATTCAAAGCAACATTCCTCTTCTCGTGGCTAAATAGCCTCTGTCGACTGTTTTTATTACCGGCTATGCATGGCATTGCTTCGAGGCAACAAGTATATGCTTCTGTCCTCCAGACGGGCAGTCGGAGGATTATACGACAAAAGACAGCCAAGAGCTCGGCACAGAAGCTTTAGTGTTCTCGGAAAAGATTTTTACGCTTCGGTATCTTCTTTCTTTGCCTCGTTGGAGAGTGATCCCGCACAATTCTAATGGTGTTCTTAATGCTCTTTTTTTCATAGCGGAAGAGCTTTGTGCTTGAAAAAATGATGTATTTGGCCATACCGAAATGAAAGAGTTTGGGTCCTCTAAACAAACTCATTTTCTCTTTCCCATTGATGCAATTCAATCCCTCCCATTTACGGAAAGGGAGAAGTAAACTCGTGCGACTGCATCTCCGAAACCAATAACCCCTAGACATGCATTTTCATTAGCGAGATGGAACTTCCGCATTTACGACGAACAGTGAGGAAAAAGGGGCGGAGAAATGGCTTGGAAATGGTGGGGGTAGATCCTTTCTTCCTGGGGAGTCGGCTTGATTAGTTGATTGATGAATGAAACGGGTTGCCGGGTGCGCCGTGGCACATTTACCAGCCGATGAAAAGAGATTCCCGTCGACGCCCGTCCTTAAAGCGTAGACGTCCCCTGCCGTGATCTTGCATTACGTTTTTGTTCCCTTTTTTTCCTATTCCCTCGACATTTCATCCTCGCTTTCCTCGCCTTCTCCCACGGCGACGGTGGGGAAGAATTGAATTTGCATTTATTTTTAGGAGACATCTCTCTCGACTTTAACATTTCTGGCTTCCTAGTGGAAGAGAATCTATAAACACTCAGTCCCACAAACTCAATAGCAAAGTAGTAAAAAGGATTCTATGAAATCATCCCAGCCTCCCTGGGGAACGGGGAATCTTAAAACACTCAATCCTGACAATTCAATTGCAAAGAGGATTCCATAATATCCTGATTTGATTTCCGCTGCTTGACGCCTGAATAACGGATTAAGTCACAATGCTTGTGCCTGTGCATTTGGTAAGGCCCGATTTGCGTCAGAGTTTTTGTTTGTTCGGAACTGAACTTTTAGCGGTGATGGATCGAGCTTTCTATATTCCCAGGGGAAAAGGTTCTCAATTCATCAGCTGATAGTTTGCAGCTGACGTCCCAGCGGCGGAAGAAACAATATAGAAAACCTAAATTTTTTTCCCCATACCCCATAATCCATTTAGCATAAGAATTTGAATCCACTTCTCCTAAAAGCAAAAAAGAGCTTTTTGGCATTGTTTCCTATGCACTCAACATGTTCCTGACTTCAGTCGAATAAGAAATGCATCGCCTCGTCTGCTTTTTGGCTGGCAGCCAAGAAGGAACTCCGTATATACACAGAGCGCATTGTGTATTGGAGTGAAGTCCTCGCTTTACCTTGTCGCTGGGCAGGTCGACTTCCTTGAGGGTTTGGAAAACGAGCTTCTCTGTCTTCCCCGATGCGAAGGTGTTGGCTACTTTCCGGACTGGAATCTTCCCGTTCACGTCCACTGTCATGCCCAGTCTCATCCAACTGAGAGAGTTCAAAGCGAAATCGTTAGCATCTCCAATGACAAAGTGAGAAGGAGCGGGAAAGGTCCTCACTGTTTTTTCAGGCATGTCATGGGGCAGACGTTGTTTGCCTTGATGTTGTGCGTGATCTTTCGCAGGCCCTCCAGCCATTCCTGAAGTGGGATAAACGTTATCGATTTACTCATTTCCGAACCATGGATGCGTTAATCATGCCCTAACACCGAGCTGAATGAGCTACACGTATGCAATCCAGAATCATTTCGTTTTCTTCTAAATTAACAGAAAACATTATTTCACTTCAACTCATCATTGGGCAACTGGATTTTCTCCTCTGAGATTCCATGACCTTAGAGCTGCTAAGTACTGCATAGTATCGCCTTGCTGTTTCAGTAATAAATGACATCCATACACGTAATTCCTGAATCCTAAAGGCAGCGGCTTCAAGGAAGTCTCTAATAACTACCAGGTTTTTTATCGCCGAAATCTCTGGACTTCAATCCCGTCAGGGGTGCAAATCTCCGCGATACAGGCCACCGTAGTATCGTAAAAGCACCATCTCTTTCTTTTACAACGCTTTTACGACGAAGCGCCTATGTCGTTCGATCGTAAACGGAAATTTAATAAGGAAGGTTTGACGCAAGGAGTCACGAAGAGGCAGACCTTCGCTGTGTCCACGTCGGGGCAGGTGACGTGCTGATAGGAGACGTTCACCATGTCCGTGCCATGGCAGATGGTAAGGCTCCGTTCCTCCACTTCGCCGCCGTGCTTCCCGTGCAGCTGTGCCAACAGTCTGGCATCCTAGGGCAACAGACGCAATGCCATTACTCGCATCGATCTTCCAGGTTTTCATGATCGATGGGACTTCGAGCAAGGTTGATTTCTTTTGCCCTTCTGACCTTTGGTGAGCCTCCAGCGCGGATGTCCGAGACCTGGCTCAGCTCCAGAACGTCTCCGTCCTACCATAGACATTCCCAGACAAAGACTTGAGAAGATTCCAAGAATCCACGACCAAGGAGAGGATAAATGGGCATCCATTCATCCGCCTCCGGGAATGAAGAGCCTATTAACTGTTTGGGGTCTCGCTGGAAATTTATCCGGAAACCATCTCCAGTCATCATTTGCGAGCGTCATCGCAAAAAAAAAGAATCTCGACTTCATTTCCTATGGATGACAAACTTCGTCCTGTGAAGTCTGCAGATATTAAATCTGCTAATCCTTCAAGATTACACCATTATCTACAATTAAAAGACAGAATGATTGAAGAAAGGAAGGGCTGATTAGATGTGCATGAGGGGCGCCGCAAGAAATGGGATTCGAAATCTTTCACATCGTCCCAAATTTAATTATCCTCCTAGATGCTCCCGAACAGATTCCGTCGATATCAAATCCTGTCTCTTTTGATAGAAAACGAAGGTAGATTCTCCAGTTCCTTCGTTCTGGGACTCCCTTTGGTTCCCGTCGATCCAGCAAACAGGCAAGGGAGACGAGGAATGAGTGCCGGTGGGATAGCGCCAGGCAATATAGATAACCTGCATCAAGTCTGAGCGTGGGAGCACAAGGTGGTTCTCTCTCTTAGGGAAGGGAAGAATGCGAATATTTAAATAGGGAGAAAATGAATAAAATGGGAGACCCTCTAATGAAACGTTAGTAAACCAAATGAATTTCTTATGAGGATATAAAACCAGCGAAATCTAACCAATCTTTCGCGAGGTTTCTTTAAAAACCCTTCATCTAAAAATAAAACTCCTTTTTAATTTGATGCTATTGCAGTGTGTTTACGGTGTACACACCCCGAAAGGATATCAAAATGTGTTTGCAGACTGGCATCAAATCATTCTTGAATTCTACGGATTTCCTGCGGCAAATGGAAGTGATTCGACCGAGAGGAAAGTACGTTTGTTTTCATGGAGCAGAAAAATAAAAAACTTATTGCAGCGACGCAGTAGAGTTATTCCTCTCCAGTCTACTCTTTGCCAAGATCGGAAGACGGATGCTGGGGATTGCCCTGAAAATGGGCAAACCCGCAATTCTCCCGAGCAATCCGGTACAGAGAACATTACAGGCTGGCATTCAGGAAAAACGCTTGTCATTTTCCCCGCCAAGTCTCCTCTCTATGGATCTGGGATGAGGTAGAGAGGAAAGGGACTGCTACTGCTGGCAGAGTGCCCTGTCTCGTTTCCATGGGGATATAAGGCGGGAGAAATGATATTCGAGACAGAGCCTCATTTCATGCATGGGATCCAGATTCTAATGAGTCGAGCGTTCTCCCTAATGAGACTGAATGACATCAGGACGCATTCCTCTCCTTAAATAAAAGTACTTCACTACCTTCACCACCTCCATTCCTCTTTCAAAGGACAGGAAATTCAGGGCCGCATTTCCTCCCCAGAAAATCAAAGACTGCATTGTCGTGAGAGTCATTACTCGCCCGACGTCGTCTGTATCACTCTCAGGATTGAGTGGAGGCTGAGTGCCCTTGGGTCTGTCGGAAGGGGGAAATGAGCCTTGGCTTCATTTATAGCTGTTTTCCCTCTCCCAGCGTGTTCCATTGTAAAGAACGAACATGCCACAGAAGATGGAGATTCCTTCTCACTTACCCGTCCTTCGCTCTTCCAGTAAATGAAGAATCCATACTCGTCCACTTTGAATAAGCAATCTTGCTCGAGGTCAAAGGCATCCTTCTCCTAAAGGAGGAAAAAAATGGATTTGTGCATCCTCATCAAACCCTGGTCGGAAATGATCATGAATGCTGTATGAGGCAGAGAGGCAGACAACTCCGAAATGAATCCTACGTCTTTTTTTACCCCATACTCATTCGCAGCTGCTCGGCTGCTTCTTGCAGCCACCTGCTCATCCTTCACAGTCGACACTCGGCAGCCGAGGGGAAATATGGCGTGTTCCACGCAGAATCGCCCGGATGGTCTGGGAAATCGAGTCTACAGCAGACACGGAGACCATGGAAGCATGCAGTCCCGCCCACGCTTACTTTCTTGGCTGCTCTCACTGCTTCTCTCAGCAGCTCTTTCGAAATTTCTCTGGGTCGTGAACTCGACAAGGCTGAGGATGGCAGCTGAATTTACGAACTCTAACCCTTTCCACTCGTTTGTCGAGCTGGGCTCGCCATCGGTCGCAGCGTTGCAGGAAAAACATTGGAAAGGGTTTACCGTGTAACTACCGTTCTGGGTCCAATTGACCCTGATACAATTTAACCATTTGTTTTAGCTCTGCCGTAACTTGAGAGGTCCTAACTTTGTATATTTATGAAGACATGTGACGACAGTAACTAGGCAATGTATTATGTCGAGATTCATCTGGAATGAAGAGATGAAAAAAAAGAGTTAAACATTGTCGTGTGGAGGACCTTAAAAGTGGACTATTAACGTAAACTCTAGGCCGAAAGCAAGAGAAAGATAACTTAGCACGAGCGGTTAAACGAAGGCAAAAAGGGTCCGGCCTCGCTCTAAACAGGACAAGCCGTCTAAGGACACGACTGATGACAATGAAATATAGGCCGACTCGCCGGACGTAACATTAAGGACTGACTGTCACAGAAGACGGCGTGATACGTAGGACGGACACCTCTGCCAGGAAACGGGCAGACACACACAGTCAGTCAGAGACGACAGACGAGAGACCAACAGCACACGTAGGACTACGACTGAAGACCTAGGGCGGATGACAGGACGGCGTGACCGGAAGGGGGAAACACACCCCAAAACGCAATAGAGGTTTAAACAGCTAATATCCTGACATAGGCATAGACCATGCAGGACCGCGGACATGGAGCAACCCCGCGGGAGCTCTAGGGCTCTAATCTTAGCGTCTTCGAATTTTTAATATTATCTATGTGACAATATGATCATCCAGGTTTAGGTGGTTACTAGGTTAACTAAGTTTTCACACAAGACGCTACGAAGAGCCGTGCAGCAATACATCTTACCATTTCTTCGTTGCTCGGACAGGAGACAGATTTCGAATGAGTTGACATTGATCAATCGCGGGATTTTAAGAAGTTGCAGCTTGAACAAAACGGATACAATGAAAGGTCAGCTCGTAGTAATTTACGCTTCTTTGCGTTTTTTCCCCAGCAAACTTGGACGTGAAATTATGACGGGGGAAACCCACTCGACTAGTAATGCCTATTAATATTCTTTTGGAACATGTAGGAAGACTTTGGAAGCTCGTTAAACGAATTTTTATAAATTGCCACATATATCCATATCAACTCAGGGCATGATAGTCACATAGCGTGATGCATTTCTCGCATGAATGGATTAAGAAATTGGTTCTAGTTCGAGGAAAGACGATTACTGGTTTTCCTGCTGCTCGCAATCGATTTGCATGGGAATAAGATGAAATACCGAATTACAGAGAATAATCTTTTGAAGGAACGCAAGCTTTGAATTAAAAAAAACCGCACTGGAAGCTGAAAAGACCCATCGGAGCGAGGCTGATCGGGAAAGGAAAGAACGTTGAACCTTTTTCCATCCCGAGCATTATCGGATTTCCCCTCGTCCCGGACGACTCCCCGACGAGCGTGACACTGGTTTGCCTTCCTCGCGAGACGCGGAGCGCCTGATACGTGGGGTCGATCGAACAGCTGAGTTTGGCTCGGGTTTTTATCGCTTGTGGATAGCCGTTGCGATAGCATTTATCTGATTGGAAAGAATATTAATAGGCATTACTAGTCGAGTGGGTTTCCCCCGTCATAATTTCACGTCCAAGTTTGCTGGGGAAAAAACGCAAAGAAATGTACTGGATATTCAAGAAATTCCGAGAACTTTCTTTCCAATCAGATATCATGCCATTAATCCGTTGAGCACTGCGCGACTCGGATGGCGATTGTGGTACATTGCGTGATCCGGGAGTCCGGAAACATGTAAATTATGTCGCCGCTCAAGGGTATTGCAGCGCTTGCACAATCTAATTCCTCAGCAGCAACTTAGATGGTTTTTACGCCCTGGCAAAGCCGTTTTCTTTCATTGCTGCGAATCTGTTGCTGACGAGATCAAATTAAATTTGCCATGATCCAGTTTCTGATCCAGTTTCTCAGAGGGGAGCTTTGATTGAAGACCTATTATGTTTTCCGGGCATTTTCTTTTGGTAACCTTAAATCAATTTATGTAATATTTTTTAATTGCTTCGAATACTGAATTAACATTAGAATTTTCAATCATAATAAGATTCGGCTGTTTCGAGGATGCTCTCACATTCAGCACTTGTAACAATGGAAATAGTGGTAATCCCTCGGACAGTAATACGCCGATCGAAGTCGTCATAATTGTCTTCTTTCTTCAGTACATCTGCAACTCAGCCGTGAATAAATACACCGCCCCTTCTACAATTTTGCTCCGGGGTGTCGAAGGCACCAAAGAAGTCATATCACGCAGGGCATATATCCCTGCAATACTCGCATAATGAAGCAGGCTCATTCGCGTTCCGGTTTCAGATGTGCCTCGGATACAATTCTCGGAGGCAATTTCAGAGACTTAGATATGCATCTTTCAGCCTGCGTGATCGTCATAGCATTTAGGGTTGCATAAACTCAAACATCCGGGTAACCTTTAAAGGTCAAACGATTTCGAAGAGGAAATTCTAACAATAGCCCAGTCTCCAAAGTAGTTCCAACAATATATTTATGAACCCACAATACATTCATCAAACGTCTTTCCTCCAGATCCGCAAATTCAATTTCGATGTTTCGTGACGGAATGCCGAAATGGGCGGATTCCTAGGCGAGCTGAAGAGACTGCGAGTGCACCTTTCATGCTGTCAGCCTCTCCTCATCTTAAATTCATTTATGCAGAAGAAACACCAGAAACACTTAGTTCTCCTTCGTAGACGACTCGCACATATTTAAACCTAGGAACCTGGGTACTGTGGGCTGAAACCGTAAAAAAAAAAGAGAGAGAGAGAAAAAAAGGGAGAAAAAGGGAAAAGTTTAGCTGACGAAGAGGCAGAGAGAACTCGGAAGAAAAAAACGACTCATATCGGGAAATAATGATGTCTACAAAAGGGGTACTTGGTCCTGTGACCTCATTTTCAGAATTTCATGGTCTTTCCTCGTGAGGGAATTCAATGCAAAGGGGATCTCCCCTTCCCTTTCACGAAATTCATGAATTCAAGTGGCACTCCATAGGTGATTGCTTCTACGGCTTCATCTGCATGTGACATGTTTTTCATGCATCGCATTTATTTAAAGGAGTTCCTCTGCCTCCCAAATCAATCCCTCTCATCGAGAAGTCATAAATCCTCCCGGACACGAAGCGATAATAATTCCGGTTTGATTCCACGAGGAATCGTACTCACCTCGACCCATCGATCGAAGAGAGATCCCTTGGTGAGAGCCTCGGGAACCGGGACCCTCCAGTTGAACTGGAAGTGTTTCGTCATCTTCCCTTCACCAAGCGGCAACTGGCCTCATCCTGGAAAGACAGGCATCACTATGAAGTGGCATCATTTTAACCCAGATATGCCAGGCGTCCCACATGTAGGACGGCGTGCACCTCCATATAGAACACACGACCTCCATATAGAACACACGAATTCCATACAGAACGTCAGGGATACCTTGGTTAAGGTGTCATCCCATTCATAAGCATGCCGTTCAGAGCTTTACCGCAACGATTTCTGACAGGGTATTCCGCATGCTGACGGATAGGAGAAGAGCTTTCCACGGATCGAGATACGAGGTATGTATCAATATACCCTATTCAAACAGTGATGGGGGAAAGCCGGAAATAGGCTGAGAATCTTCGATTCCCTTCGTGCCATTGACTCCTTGTCAATGGCAAAGTTAATTGAACCAATCCCGTCTCGAGCTCCCCGTGACGTCACTCCTCAACTCCTTTCAACTTCTAGCATTCTACACACGTACTCGCCTTGACCAATAAGAGTTCTTCGATTGAAGCTGGAGTGGGAAGGAAAACATTCTAAAGATAGCCGAGAAGTCAGTAGTGTGTTCCCGAACGGAGACGAATCTTTTGCGTCATCACACTCCCTCTGACAAGGATCCATCGAGGTCTAACAAGGACAGACTTCGCTCTTCAATCCGGTTTCACACTTCACCGTGATTTTTTCCTTTCCCCATCGCCATTTTTCGCATCGATGAGTATTTACGTGCTTTTCACTCCGGTGGCTGCACCGGCTATTTTCTCCTCGCAATCGCGGTCGAGTGTGACGTCAATGCGGGATTTAATTGCAGTGGGGGTCTAAAAGTGGCGTATTTGATACCGGCTTTGATCTTCCATCCCAGGAGTGAGAAATTGGATTACGTTTCTTGGGGTGGAACGGGAGAGTCGGAAACTTTTTTTATTGGTGTATCGGGGGGAAAGGGGGGGACAAAAATGGGACTTTGGGGGCGAAGGAGGAAAAAGTAGATGACCTAAAAATAATTTATATTGACGTCTTCTGCCTGGTAAAGGCCTTGATCAATATTCCAAAGGTATTCCTTCCTCCGCGAAACGCATGCGATGGAATCGCACGACAGGTTTTCGTGATAGGGCATTAACGGGGAAAGAAAGGAAGGGAACTAAATCAATCTGGACTTTTTTTTTGGAGAGAAAGGCGGCATTTTGCGTTCTTAGCGCCTCTTCGACCGTGAAACATGAGCCTTTTGTCCGCCTCAAAGACGATGTGAAGATTTTCTTCTTATAGGGCGGAGATTGCCTTCTTATGAGAGGAGACGGAGAAGAACCAGTTGCTAGGCGAAAAAAAAAGTCCGGGAAATCGTAACAGGTGTGTTCAAGTTGGGCGGGAAAGCACTTGAAAGCAATGGACCCATTTGTGTTCAAAAATAGAGCAAATAGCCGTCGATTCCTTTCGTGCCGTCCGGGTGCTAAAAAAAAATACCGCTCTGGGATGGATTGGGGCCCCCCCGATCGTTAGGAAAAAGATGGAGCTGCCGTTGCGGGATGGGATTACGCGGTGATATATGCGTGACTTCTTGACCTCTCCGCGGGATTTTTTTATCCTTTCCTCGTTTGGATTAGACCGCATGGGAATGCACATGATAGGGGCTCTTGCACGTCATTCATCGGCGATAGGAAATTAATGGCATCTGTACATCCTTCGCCTTCGGTCATGCATATGTATATACAGGGTGGCCCGAAAGTCAGGAAACGTAGCATCATAAATTATTCTCTTTTAAAAAAGAAAAACACAACAAAACAAAAACAAAAAAACCGTTCTGGCTGGCTCTGAATGGATGAGATCGGAGATGAGAGCCGACAGCAGAGGGAGAGAGATTAAACATGGTGCTAAATGGGACTTCATCAGATGGGACAAGGAAGATGGAATGACAAGTCAAGGTTGTTAGGCGGGTCAAGTCGATTCAATTTTCTTTGACCAGATGGTCATTCGTCTTATTCCTGTCCATGCGCATGCGGCGCCATTTCCTTTTCATGCTGTCATGCGTGAAGAGGAAATGGATCATTCCTCATTATTTCCCAAAGTCTTTCATTGCAGTTTATCCCTTTATTCTATTTCCATTCTATGAATTGAAATTTCTCCTAGAATATTAATCCTATTGCTGGTCTGGAATGAGATGCCGTAAAATAAACGGCGTTGCAGAGCTGGAAAAGAAAAGACGCATCATCGGGCATCTGGTGCGAGGCATTCAGAAGAGCTGAGCATTTGACAACCCTGTCCCACCACGAAAATCCAATGGCAGCTGCCTCCATGGACTAATTAAGGATCGGCGTATGGGAGTTGAAAGGGTACAAAGCCCGCAGAGATGATGGAATATCCGGAAAAGATGGGGAGGGGGGCAGCCCCCAGGGAAATGCATGTGACCTTAACGGGTAATGCAGTTGAGACTCTCACTAATTGTTCGGAGACAACAATAGCCAGTCCTTAAAAGGGGTCGCAAACGAGAAATTAGGAAGTTACAGGCCCATAGCAACTATATTGGTGGTTGGGTGGCTATTCGCGATAAGCTGAGAGATAGACTAGTAAAAAGATTGTAACATTTTTGGGACAGTTTGGTTATCGGCCAGACAGAAGAGCAAGAGATTAAATATCTTCGAAATACAAGCACGATCGAGTCCAGACAGCGAACCGAGAGTCCCGGGCTTTTTCCATCTTCGCAAAGAAAGAGCGGTAGACTGTATTTGCTATATTTGGTATTACCATGAAGAAGCTCATGGGAAAGAATATGCAGAAACTGATACATGTAGAAGTTATGATGTAATTATAAGATGTGTCTTAATTAAGACTGTTAGTTTCTTAGGTAGTTAGGGAAGTTTCGGTAAGAAGCTACTTGGTCTGTCTAAGCATCTCTTTCTTGCAAGCAAGGGGGAAAAAGTAGGCAAGGAAATTAGATAGCACTAAGGGTTAGGGATTCATTAAGTCTGAGCTTAAAGACAAATGGGTTGAGCAGGAATTTTGAGGAGGAAAGGAGTCTCACACTCTCCTAATTTCCCTTCCTTCGTTACCGTCTCCTCTCTCTCCTCATCTTCCCTCGACGGTTCTTCAGGGTTTCGACACCGTTCTGACATGCGGGTCTGGGTAACGTAGACCCAGCGTGGCAGGGACCACACCTTGGGCATGGTGGTGGTCCATCGATAGTCTGCTGCCCCGATGGATTCCTGTCACTAATGGGCCATCTCACCGTTCGTCCGGTGAGATGGCCCGTAAGTGACCGATTGTATACTATAAATAGTATAGTAATACTGATACTATATCCAACAAGTGTATTCGTGCCTTCATCAGATCCGCGAACCAAAAGCGACCGGCAAAATCGAATAGGAAGGAGAACGTGTAAACTATTCATGCCATAAAATATTCAGCATCCCAGGTGGAATTACGAGCACATTAGTTCCTCTCCTTTTTCCCTGTCATCCTGGGACTGCACCCACGATTTTCGGGAACGAATGAAATGCCTCGTGTCGTAGAGATAGATTATTTCCCCCCCAGACTGTTTTGAGCTCTCCTACCGACCCGATAGACTCCTGTAATGTTGAAGTTGCCTTAACTATAATACTTGATCCAAGTGACTGAATGGGACCCAAAATGACCAAAACGTGCTAAGTGACCAAATTGGGTCATTGGATCGCTCTGGGTCACGTGAATCAGATTTTGTGGACAAGGTGAATCTGGCAAAACCGTATCCTATCAGTCGGTGGATGGGTTCCAAACGATGGAGATAGGAAAAAATCTATATAATAGTATTCTAAGATTCCTGACTTTTGGGACACCCTGTGTAGAGGCTTACGTGGTATTGCGGCTTGGTGCAACGAACCTCGGCTTCCTCCGTAAACCCCTACTGCGGGTCTAAAATTGACATACGAAGTCCTAGAGGTGCGGCTGTCGGTGAAAGGTGAAAGAAGACAGGAACTGTCGGATCATTGAAGAATGACCTACCACGAGAACTAAATCCCTGTCAGCCGTGCGTTGCCAAGCGCCAAGCTTGACAGGAGATGACAACTTTGACAAGGTGAGAATCCGAACAAAAATTTTGGCTACGTTAACCTCCATGTTAATCCATTCGTATTAACATATGCTTAAAATGATCACACATAGATCAACCTAGATCGATGCAGGACTCAATCGATGTTCGCCCCGAGTTAGCACAAGCCCTGGCTTGATATTAACAGAGGTGTGCACATGTCATTTTTCACCGTGCTAATATTTGCAAGGGGACAGGGCATGAATAACCATTAATGCGGTTCTCGGCTCGACGTCGGGCTTCGATGCGCGAGACGGCCATTCATCTTGACGGTTTAGACTGCTCGAACAGTTTAGGACGGATACAGGCTTCAAAGGAGACGTAACGACAAAAACAGCGGCAAAACAAGCATACTTGTTTTTGAAAGCGTCCTTGGTGGAACGGTTGCCTGCGTTGGTAGATCCGAGAGATCTTGTAATTTTCTTTTCAAGCATCTGTAGCATTTTTTATAATTACTTTGACGGTCCAAAATACGCCCTTTTATCTTAATAATTCCCTGATTAATATGACGCTTGGTTGAATAAACATATTTTCCATTATTAATTATGGAAATTATGTTTCTTCTGCTCTGTTTCCCGGCCATTCCCCTTCGCTGGGGGAAATTCTACGATATGACCATGGAAGGAGACAACAGTACTAGTTAGATGGTCCTTACGTGTTTTAGGGTACTGGTTTCAGGACTTTTGAGGCAGTCAACATCTGGTCCAGTGTGATTTCGAAAATGAACTCTTTCTTTCGTTTGCACAAAAACATCAGGAAATCGTTAAATTCAACGCATTTTCGCGATATCATTCGGAAAACGAGGATTTCCGGCAATACTTCGACATGTATCTCGGAAACGAGTGAACTCTTTCCCATCGCGTCTAGGCGCCGATATTCGCGACGAATCACGGGAGCGGAAGTAGTTTAAGCAGGGAATATGAAAACAAATAAGCAACACGAGATAGGGTGCTAAAAACGGAACCAGTGTCGCTGTCCTGACGTCATAGCCGTCAAAAAGGATACCCCATGCAACATTTCACAGCCTTTTCTCTCCAAAATGTCTCGGAATAGCAGAGCAAAATGAATATTTTTCCACTCCAGCATTCCCCCAATATAAATTGCATTCCACGAGGTGCCCATTAAGTCACACGACGCCAGAAGCTGGAATCTCGATCTGACTGAAATCAGGGATTTTTGGTTCAAAGGAGGAAAAAAAACTAAAAGACAGAAAATTGACGCCTCTCTCCGAAGAGAATTACCGGGAAATATAGATTTTCCCCCATGTCTCGTACATCCCACGTCTCTGATCGTTAAGGGATTTCCGGCTCACATACGCAATATACCTTGTAAATTGATCCAGAGCGAGGGGTTACGGAATACAGCAAATGAAAATCCCATGCCTTTGTTCATCAAAGGATTTCAGCAAAGATTCTCAAAAAGGTCAGCAGGATTTTCGGAATGCAACGAATGAATCGACAGCATGCAATAATTACTTCAAAAATAACACCTTCAGATTTAGGATCTTAGGCACGACCAGGAAAAAGTACCTTCACAGTACTTCCACTGGACCAGATGGATACCCTAGGAGAAGTTATCGACGGTGCTTCATCATCTCCTGACGGAGGCATCTATCTCTTACTGCGAATGTGATACTTCCGGGCAACGGAATCGATTACTGCTGCTGTAATGGCCCTTTTACGAAACGCTGCCAAGTTAGATGTGATACATGTAGTAAACACGCCTTTGTTTCCTCGATTCCATGATTCCTTGCCTTTTTCGGCAATATGACTGGCAAAGAGAGAATTTCGCACTCGGATGTGTCAGCCCTTCTCCGTCCCGAACAGCTACCTTATTGCGGCCCTATTTTTTGTAATTCCATTCTCGGACCCATATTCGGTCCATGCAGAAAGAACGAGAGGCTCATACTAGAATGAAGCCCAGTTCGGCCTGAAAGAGGACGACACATTTGCACGGAGTACTGCATTATATGTAAGATTCGGCTGCATAGCAATACAGCGAGGCACTCTCAAGCGCTTGAGGTATGAGAACCACGTGCAATTATTTTATCTCCGTCCAAAAAAAAACCTCGAATGACAGAGATTAATGTCAGATGTAGCAAAGTTCTTCGCCACTGGAGATGACTCCTATAATCTGATCAATTCTGACTTGACAAATGACTCTATTGAGATTGTTAAGTGCTCCCACGGCCTTTGAGTCATTACCAGCATGTTCTCCAGGCGATCGCCTGAAGTTCAGCAGCACCGGCAACCTACGCAGTTCCCCCAGGCCACAGAAGCAGATGAGAGAACCTCCGACTCACCCTATTCGAAGGAGAGGAGACGCACGAGTGCACGCGTGGAGATGGAGGTGAAGACTAGGAGATGCTGGGGACATGGCATGCCATGGGATTCCACCCCGCGCCAGGCTATTGATTCTCTCGAGACAGCGAGGGGTCTTTCGCCTCATGCGCGCCCAGCCTCCCTCCGCTCCCGATTTTCCTTCGCACCCGTCGGCCTCCTTCCTTCGAGTGTTCTTTCTCTTCGTTCTCGCCATCATTATTTGCTCTGCTGGGCGTGCCCCCGTTTTGTAATCGTGTACCGCAATATGCAACCTCAAACAATGCGGAGGTGGATGCTGGCATGAATTAAGTATGACGGAACAAAGTGTAGAATGGAGACCATGGCTTCCACGGAATATGTACCAGTACGACATTCGAAGTACTGTACAACAATCCATGACGAGCATGGAGCCTTGATTTTTGACAGATCACTCGCCATACAAATGACACTTGGGCCAGAGTCTTCCAGATTCGGGGATCTAAGATGGAACTCACTGCTGTCGATTCCTAGTCGCTTGCGTCATCTACGGGTCAACTGGGAAGCAACGCAGTTCTCCCAAATACCAATAGATGTCTCTAAGGGCATCAGTGTTCCCACAGCGGCCGAATGAAGTCTCACACTTTAGTCCAAACGAGTCTATCCATGCCAAGTGCTTGGGAGGACCTTAGCATGAAATATCACGAAATTTGTGCGCATTGCATCCCGTCAAAATTTCCATCATCTCTGTTCTCCATAACATGTATCAAGAGAGCTCTCATTTCTCATTTCTGAATGGAACTCATTTCTATAATCAATGAGTTCCATTCACATGACATTAATTGATAAGAAATGAATGCGAAACTGGAGAACTGCCTCCGACAACTGGAAAACATGCCAGCACGGTCTTCCCCAAACCGAGATGCGATCTAAGCTGCACATTTAAAAAAGAAATTGTCGATTGTTCATTTTGAAAGAAGTTTCGAAAATGCGTCACGGCCGACACTTTTCTGTCGCATCACACAATCGTGGGCATGGAATCCCCAATCTTCTCATGCGTTTCTTGAGATCCGGGAAGGTGCTGAACCTTGATTGATCCAAGGTCAGGAGAGAAAAGGATGTCGAGACCGTTCGGTAATTGAGCACCGTGTTAAAAATAATAATAATAATAATAATAATAATAATAATAATAATAATAATAAGAGGAAGGGGGGATTCTCCTTGATGACTGCTGACGAGGGGTTCATTTTTTTCCAAAATTTTCTGTTGTGAGTAATTCAACGTTCCCATAAATGTGAGGACAGAAAGGAAGCAATCCTTCTTTCTTGTGGAATTTTCGTGGCAAAGCCTGCATGCATGATTGCAGGTTTGCATGCGTCCTTTTTTTTTTTTTGTTCCAGAAGGAAGGAAAAAAAGGCGGTGAAAATCTCGTTTACCATGCTTTCCCGAAACCATCCTCATGAGACAAAACAAAGATGATGCGATTTAAAAATGGTCACATCGCTTTCGTCATCGTTCTATCTTGAAAATGTGGAAATTCAGTCAATTGCAAAAAAATTTCCAACACAAAAAACACTCGAGAAACTCACTGAACGTTCTTAAAATGGCAGCATATGCTGCAGAAAGTTTAAGATGATAAAGGCGCTGAATGAATTTCCGGCTCATTTGCAAAACATTTGGACAGAAACCTGAATTGCTTCGTCAAAATGGCATTTCCTGAGCCTGGTTAAACTGTGCAGGGCGGGAGAAAATGATTTGAACTGGGCCGAACGGAATGAAACGACTGAGCCTCGGTTTTAATGCT